GTATTAATGGCACCTGTTTGAACTCGTTATCTGTATAAAAGACACCTGTCCACAGCCCCAAACAGTCAGACTCCAAACTCCACTATGGCCAACACCAAAGAGCTGTCCAAGGACACCAGGAAAAGAATTGTAGACCTGCACCGGACTGGGAAGAGTGAATCTACAATGTCATGTGGTCAGATGAAACCAAAGTAGAACTTTTTGGTATAAACTCAACTCGTCGTGTTTGGAGGAAGAAGAATACTGAGTTGCATCCCAAGAACACCATACCTATTGTGAAGCATGGGGGTGGACACGTCATGCTTTGGGGCTGTTTTTCTGCAAAGGGGACAGGACGACTGATCCGTGTTAAGGAAAGAATGAATGGGGCCATGTATTGTGAGATTTTGAGCCAAAACCTCCTTCCATCAGTGAGAGCTTTGAAGATGAAACGTGGCTGGGTCTTCCATCATGACAATGATCCCAAACACACCGCCCGGGCAACGAAGGAGTGGCTCCGTAAGAAGCATTTGAAAGTCCTGGAGTGGCCTAGCCAGTCTCCAGACCTCAACCCCATTGAAAATCTGTGGAGGGAGTTGAAAGTCTGTGTTGCTCGGCGACAGCCCCAAAACATCACTGCTCTCAAGAAGATCTGCATGGAGGAATGGGCCAAAATACCAGCTACTGTGTGTGCAAATCTGGTAAAGTCCTAGAGTAATCGTTTGACCTCTGTTATTGCCAACAAAGGTTATATTACAAAGTATTGCGTAGAATTTTTGTTATTGACCAAATACTTATTTTCCACCGTAATTTACAAATACATTCTTTAAAAATCCTACAATGTGAATTCCTGGATTTTTTTTTCACATTCTGTCTCTCACTAGGGATGTAAATCGGCGACCGGTTAACCGGTGGTTGACCGTCACAGCGTTAATCGGTCAAAGCTGTCGGTTAAAAAAGAGAAAACGGGGAGAGGGGAGGTCTCTTAATAACGCTATTTTAAGCCCTATTTGCACGGTGTGACGAGCGGGTCTGTATCTAGCTGTGTGCGCCCATGTATTATAAACTCCGGGACGACTCTCACGCCGCACGAGCCACATATGCACACACGCACGCGCGCGCACACACACACACACACACACACACACACTTTCCCCCTCTCCATACGTAAAATCCACACGCATCATCTCTCCCCTCTGTTACCGTCAAAGTTGCACACTGGCGCGGGTCAGAACTACATTGGAGCTTACATTTACACACACACACATACAGGTCTGTCGCGCTCCTCTGTGTCACGGAGCCCAAAGGATTCGCGCAAATACGCGGCTCCAGTCAAACCACATGGACCATGTTTGTGTTTATGGTCCTCGGGATCAGCTCCACACACATCACTTGTATTTAAACTTTTGTGAAGACCTGTGAGACGCGGCTCGTCACTCGCTGCTCTGACCATGTGAACGAGCCGTCGTTTGCTGCTAGAAAGTTTTGGTATTAACCCGCAGCACAGCAGAATGGGAAGATTAAAAAAGCAGTTCTCTGTGCGCAAAGGTGCCGGAGCTGTTGCGGGTTTGGGCGCCGCTGTCTCAACTCTGATCCAGTAGAACGCAGAGCTGCACTTATGAAAAGTACGCGGCTCAAAATGGTTGTTATTTCAAAGAACGTGGACTATTTTAAACTACGCGGTTAACCGGTTTCAACCGGTTAATGAGGCTCGGTGGTCGGTCATGAAAATTCATAGTTTTTTACATCCCTATTTCTCACAGTTGAAGTGCACCTATGATGAAAATTACAGACCTCTGTCATTATTTTAAGTGGGAGAACTTGCACAATCGGTAGCTGACTAAATACTTTTTTGCCCCACTGTACGTGTGTTTTGAGCTCTACAACGAAGAGCATTCTACCCAAAGGGTTTCGTCCAAATGAAACCACGCGAAGCTCTAGTTTCAGTTTCCATTTTTGCAGCTGTGTTAAATGCAGAAGGATGTTGGTGCATTCTTTCACGTCTTTGCTGTGCCTGAGGAGGATGTTGTTGAGGAAGTGAGTATACTGCTGGGGGGGCTGGGGCTCGCATGTGTCATGTTGTAAAGTTCCTCTGCCCACTACTGGCCGGGGGCTAGAACTACATCGTTTTTCATCCTTTATGAATGCTGTGAAATTTGCATAAGGATCCTGGTCGTTTCTGTTACTAGCTTGGCAACGTCTGCGCAGCGCCTCCATAAAAACTGGGCCTTAGTAGGGCTGCATTGTAAATTAGAGCGATATTCAATATTATTGCGATATTTTCTTATCACCAAAAATTCCAATCTGCATTGAACCGCAAGAGACAAGCACAACATTAATTACATTTAAATTCTGCCTAAAGTTTACATTTCCATAAACACAGAATTAACGGAGAGTGTGCACTTTGCTATATATCGTGTAATGGCTGCAGTTAAAGCTTTGTGCCATTTCTAAAATTTCTCATAAGGAGTGACAGAAGCAAAACTGTCATTAAGGCTCATTTGCACATTTGCCTTTCTTTGACCGGAGTAGGCTGTGGAGTTTGAGATCGTAAATAAACACCATGAAGTACCTTGTGGTTGGCTGAAGTCGGCTGTGGAGTTTGAGAAGTGTTTTCCTTTGACGTAGCAACTATTCTTTGGCATGACTTCTGGGACTGATCCAATCTTGTAAATCCAAAGTAAAATTCCGGAGGTAAAGTATCTCTCTGCATTCATCTGCATTTTTCTCATCATCATCCGCCATGCTTGTTTTGTTTCTTTGCGTGCAACACTCTAGCGTGTTGTGGAACTAGGTCGCAGCAGATTTGTCAAAGTACGAGTAAAAGAAATGCATACATAAATAATTCAAAATTATCGCTCATCTTTTATATATGGATTTTGCTCGTACCAATATTGCGATGACAATATTTTTTCCATATAATCGCACAACCTTATTTCTTGTGTTCTACTAAAAATAATCCACAATCCCAAAGAAATATTATATATTTTAAGGTTGTAACACCCCTCATACACTGTTCTAACACGGTTTTGATATCGCAGAGATATAAAAACCTATTGGTTGTAGGTATGAAAACTGCTACAGCTGTCAAAGCCGTGCAGACACTGTACAATGCAGCTCCCAGAGAACTAATCACAGTGATGCGCACAAGATTTTATTCTGACTTCAAAAAATGATAACTGTCATTTTATACTAGCGGTTATATGCGCAGCGCAGGTGAACACACATAAACCTGAGAAACAGTGAAAGGTGAACCACGATATGGTGAGGGATTTGTATGATTATTTCTTGCATAATAGTATAATACATGCATGATCAAATAAAAGGACTTACCTATGATGAAACATGTGATGACAATCACATAAAAACAGATTAGAAGTAACCAATGAAGAAATCTAGTAAAGATATCTTACTCAGAGCACTTCTGGTTAATGGGACTTTGCATCAGAGTCTTGCACAATTAAACCTCAACTTCTTCAAAAACAATAGGACCTTGCTGTTCCACAGGAGGGGCTTTTGAGAGTTGCTCAGTGGGTTGGACGTCCCACTTCCTCTGGGGCAAATGCTTATCACGGGCATGTCACATACACATACCTGGTATTGCTCCCTCTTCATCTTATTACGCATCTCATTCACACATTTACGTATTCAGAACACTGTATTTATCACTCCATTAGGCGCACTATCAAATTATGCTTTTTTTTTTTTTTTTTTTTTAAATAAGGCGCACCAGATAATAAGGGGCAGTGAAACAAAACTATTTATTCAATAAACTAATGTATTTACCGGTATAAACTCTATACCTTAAATAACTCAACATGTTTCAGTGGTAACATTTAAACAAACACAACATGGTCATGAAAATGAAAGAATTATGAAATGGGCTTGTTCACACTAAAGGGTACAAAAGTGTGACAAAAGGCCAAAAAGTTAATTTTTAAAATCAGAAGCTATATCTTGTTAGTGATGTATCTAAATATCTCCTCCGTCCATTAGTAGTTGCTAGATGATAACTTTTATGAATTAGATAAATTTAATTTTCCTATAGTGGCCCTGTTTATTTTGTGTAACGGACGTGATGCTTTGACGGAATGAGCAACAGGGGAAAGTTTGTTACATGTTTTCAGATGTCCACATTTGATGAATAAATTTTCTTTTTTTTCTTTTTTTTTTTTTTTTTTTACACAGAGTAGAAACAAAGTGATTACTTTCATATGGTAAACCAATCAAATGTTTGACAAGACCATCATTTCTCAAATTTTATTTGACGGAAACCATCATGTCTGTTACACATTTTTCAAGGGTTATTTACATTTTTATGGATTATTTTTCAAAAAGGACTCCTTTTTAAATTAAGTGATTTACTTATGTTGTGTTAGCCATGTTAATCTTGTGGGAGTTCATATGCCACTTTTTCAGAATGATGACCTTTTATTTTCTCTGAGAAGATCTGAGAGATTTAGCGAGGGTCCGTTGGTGCGCACAAGCCCGGAACATTTGTTGTTTCACCCAGACTATTTAAGTCTGCTATAACTAGCTACTGTATATAGCTCGGTCTGTAAACACAGCCAAACATTGATACTTAGGGCACACAAGATTATACGCGCACTGCAAGGATTAAGACTTTTCTCCACGCCTAATGGATAAAAAATACGGTACTCTTTTTGAGTAACTGTATTTCGTAATAGGCACTCCCATGGTTACAGGCACTCCCATGGTTACAGGCACTCCCATGGTTACAGGCACTCCCATGGTTACAGGCACTCCCATGGTTACAGGCACTCCCATGGTTACAGGCTCTCCCATGGTTACAGGCACTCCCATGGTTACAGACACTCCCATGGTTACAGACACTCCCATGGTTACAGGCACTCACATGGTTACAGCCACTCACATGGTTACAGCCACTCACATGTTCACAGGCACTCACAAGTTTTTACAGGCGTTCAAATGCATTTACATGAACACAATACTAAGCCAGCTACTCTGGAGCGGTGTTGTTGTGAGACGAGCAGCCAGACCTGTACTCGGGGCAGCTGGCGGACGACGTGCTAAGGCTGCGGCTCTTCCTCGTTTGGCGGGACAAGTCTGCTACATCACAGGGACCGCACAAGACAGCGCTGGACTGGACAGTTTTGGAGCCCTCCATCACTCCTCCACTCGCCTCAGGACCTAAGATAGAGAATAATTAATTGTAGAACTTTGTGGAAACTTGCAAACTACTACTTTAGCCTGGGGCTTAACAGAAGCATGGATACTAATCTGTGTGGTGGAGCAAATACAGTTCAGGTTTAAAAAAGAAGCCACAATCACATTCAGGTGTGGTGCTGAGGATACAGTTTTTATACCGTGCTATGTGTGTTACTGTTAAGGATTTAAGTTCAGTTATTGTTTTCCTCTAATTTTCTGTTATTATTTTCCAACAAATTCATTATTAAATGGATTGTCATTCCGAATTGACACAATTCTCAATTCATTATTTTATTTTAGTGTTTTTTTTGGGGGGGGTTTTCAAGTGACACTAAGCATGAGTAATCTCCACTCCAAACACCACCAATTTTCCACTCACACCAAACTCATGTACAACAATGTGGACACAACAGCCCTTTACAGCCGCTGCCTTCTCCATCAGTATTGGAGACAGGCTTGATATCACTCTGGAACATTCCAGACTGATCCTGACCCTGTGGAACATTCAAGACTGACCCTTACCCTAACCCTGACCCCAACCCAATCATAGTGGGAGCAGTAATTTTGCACATAAGACCATAATGATTGAATGACAGATTTTTTTTTTAAATACCAAAACAAAAACTGAAGAAACAAATAATGTGAAAATAGATTAATGGGCAATGGGGGTGAAGTTTCTTGCCAAGTACACAACGCCAGCAGACATCAGTGGGAGTCAGTGGAGAAAGTCTTGTGGTGGGCTCGAACCCGGCTCCAAGGCCAATGCTCTACCAACTGAGCCATTGTTGCCCCATAGTACTGGCGCTAACGCAAATATACTAAAAATCAAAAGTTGTGGGGATTCCCTCTGGGGATGAAGGGCCTACTCTGTACCACAGGACAGAGAGAGAGTCTTGTCCACAGGGGCAGAGTCACCTGTGTTTGTATTTGCTTGTGCTTCACAGCGAAAAGGTAATGGCTTCAATTCTGGTCCTTTCTGTGTGGAGTTTGCATGTTCTCCCCAAGTCTGTGTAGGTTTCCTAAGGGTGCTCCCTGTTTCCCCAAACACTAAAAACAGGAACAATAGGTGAGGGTTGAATGAGTGTGAGGGTGACTGAGACTACAAATAGCAACATAGCCACAATGTACAGCTTCTACGGTTCATGAATACACTGTGCCATGATCCAAATAAATACATAGACAAAATTAAGTGTAGTGTATAGACTTTTAAGCGAGAAGTTCCTCCTCATTACTTATGCCTTACTTGTACATGTGCAATAACAACAGGGGAGTTGTGCAATAATAACAGGGGAAAGGTGCAATAAAAATAGGGTTAGGGTTAGAAAAGACAGGCTAAGGGTTGGAGGAGACAGCAATAAAAGAAAGCATATTATTTCTAATAAGATGAAGACAGATGAGGTGGTCTGTGGTTGTTCACTAAAGGTTAGCTAAGTATGTATTATTTATGTGGGGAAAGTTAAGTCTCAGGAAAATACAGGAGTAAAATGTAACTTTCTTCACACTTTACATATTTACAGATATTTTGTATTCATTTTAAAACAAGGGTCTTTCAATCTATGCAGTCAATATGTCTATTCGTGATAATCAACAAACTGAGCCAATGCGTGACAATCACAGTACGACATGTTGCATCAGTTCATCATGAGCACAAGTACTCAGTTACCTGTAACTGTCACGGTAAATGTAACGAGAAATGCAAGCGCAAACACCCACGGAGCCACAAGAGAATCTGACAGCTCAAGCTATAGCTAGGCTAGGCTAGCGGCTAGGCTAGCAACAAAATACCCGACTCCACCAGGAACAAACCGATTTTAGAACGGCTCAAGCAGTTACCGGGCTTGGGAGAACCACAGGTTGAGGTGTCAGCTCACTCCATGAACAGCGCGGCCGCCAGAGACACCAGAGACACCAGGGACATGGTTTCAGGGTCCAGGGATCAGGAGCAGAATGTGTACATAAAGTTCAGTGTCAACAGTCAGACAGCCCCGTCTGATCCAAGTGTATCTGTCTGCGGCCTGCAGTAAGGAGGCGTGTCGGGTAGTAGGCGTGTCGGGTAGTGACGTCACTACCCGACACGCCTACTCCACGTTCTACCCGACACGCCCACTCCACGTTTCTTAAAGGGGTATGAGCACGGATCTATTATAATACGGGTAGAGTACTATTTATTGCCCAATAATGAATTTATGCGCCACAATTAATGTTATGGTGCATGTCATTGTCATCATTATTTATTGGGGGAAAATGGACGAATTTTGTAAATATCAAAGTAGTACTTCAGACTACTTCAGACAATCAATAGGGATTTGAAGCGGCTCAGGACAAAAGTTAATGAGTCAAATAATGCCAGTGCTTATGTCTAATGTGTAGATTCATTTATAAAAGGGGCCTATGGTTGGTGGCTCAAATCCTGGGCTGCCCCAAGTGCAGTCTGGTATGTTCTTGAGCAATGCACTTCACCCACATGTGTGGACATAGTGAGAGACTGCTTGCACAGATTAGCTGCCTGGCATCCATTACTGCAACCCAGCTGTGGCACACTGTGTGGACTAAATGAATAAAGACCACAGTGTGGCGTTTTGAGAAACTTGTCAACACAGGATTGAAAAGCACATTAAGCAGACATTCATTTCGTCGTGTTTCGTCAAATATGTATCTGGGAGAGGGAGATTAAACAAAAAGAACAAATTGTTATCTGGCATTTTATATACATGCTTTTTCATGAATTTGTGTTCTGTGAATGGCTCTGAAATGTAGAAACTGAAAAAGTTCAACACAAAACAAATATTGCAACACATTCTTTTATTAAAACTGTGAGAGAAAGGCTTCAGAGGAGGCATTCGTGATTCTATAACATCATCAATAACATTAAAATCATTACATGTGCACTTTATGTAATGTCTTATAATGGTAGTCACTTACCAACTGCGTTAGCTGGACAATTTCAGTTGTTTTTGCCTGGTTAGTCATTGTCCAAGGGCGCTGCTGAAAAAGGATGCAAGTTGCTAATGTGTTAGTTCAAGGCCACTATGAATATCACTCAGTAATGATTGTGATGTCACATTTTTTTTACATTTGTCACTTCAGTACACGGTCTCTTCCTCTTCAGTCTGAAGATGGGTGAAAGGCACCCATTGACCATTTGCTTGCCCTCTTTAGTGAAATGAGCAAATCGTCTTCCATGCCTGAAGAAACAAATTATATACTCCAGAAAAGCTGTAAAACTGAAACAACTATATTTTGTCAAACTATTCACACAGGCTTTGGAATAAGCAACAAAAACCATGTAATTGTCTGGTAGCAGTGTTGTTGAAGATATATTTCCACAATAAATCAAATCAACAAACCAAACAAAGGGTAAATCAATCATACCCTTCCAGGTGTAGGTTTTCCACTAGCACTACACACCACCATCTTCGCAGTACTGGCATATCGTCCTTAAAAATGAAGAGCACATCCACACAACCCACAATGATTAACTTGACATAATTTTTTTTTCAATGTTGCAACATGCCCTTCTCAATCCAAAATGAATGTTAAACAGGAATTAAATGGCCCTAAATGGAAAATGGTCACATTTACATAGTGCCTTTCTACCTGCTTTAGGCACTCAAAGCGCTTTACATCAAGGAACCACTCACCCATTTACACTCTTATTTATACAGTTTATGCAAACACAGGAATTGACCATTTTACATATGTATTTGTAATTCAATGAAGAAATTATTTGATGAACTTACGACAGTGAAGTCAAATGGTGCACCAAGGATTAGGTACCAAGTATACTGAAACAAAAAACATTACTGTGCCGATAATATGTTCAACCAATTGTAAGCGTATGTAATTCTAATCTTACCATTATCATAAAAATGCCACAGTCATTGGCATGTGTCTGTTGGGGAAGTCCCTAAACATGAGTAACACAAATGTTAAATTATATAAAATACAATGTATTATTGAAACAGATTCTAATGCTTTGAACAGATTGTGTGTACTAATAAAAAACAAGTTTGTTACTGTAGTAGCAAAAATCTTCTGCATTGAAGCACATCATAATCACCCAGCAAGTACATTTACTGTAGCCATGCAGGCAACCTGCTTACTGGTGCCACATAAATACAGTGACCCCAGTGGACTGCCTTGAAAGCAGTAATTTGTCCATATTGCAATCTTAGATCCAGTTACCTCTATGTCTTTCCCTGTTTTTTCAATCCAGGGACCTGGAGCCAGTTTCTGCGCAAGAGCACTGTTGAAAAAAAATAACAGTAAGACACTGATAGTGTGTGCTGTCAGCAATTGTAAAGAAGTCAAGTGAACGTGACTTTCAACAACAAATCAAGTCAAACTTGGCAAGTCAGAACATGACTGCCTTCTTCAAAACAAAATGAATGGAGATAAAACATGCAGAAAGGTTTTCCTGAGATTTTACAACTGAAAGTACAGTAGCACTAGATAATTGGTTTCTGTATTTTTAATTAAATAATTTAAATAAATCTCAGTTGTAAAATCACAAACCTTAGTCAAGGGAACGTCTTGACTAGGTATAAGTAAACTGCATATATTTTGCCTGATGCAAGTACGATAACCGTCATGCCCAAAGCCCTGCTTTCTCATGTGATACTGAGAGTCAATGAACAGAATCTCTTTCTGCATTGGCTTCATAACCTGGAGGACAGAGATTTATGAGGGGTTTAATATAGAATAAAATACAACATATTGACCCAAACTGTAATGGGTCTATGAAGATAAGAACATAGAGGGTGAGATAAAGGTTAAGACTTGAAGCGGAAGAAAAAGTAACAGCAAAACATGTGTCTGAATTCTATAATCAGGTGAGGTTTCAGTAATAATATTTCAATCCCACAATGTAACACAACAGAATATGCCAGAAAGCAAAAAACAAAGTTGTGAGTGAGCCTGCGGATGACAGTTTTTCAACTTACACACAACATGAAATGACCGGGGACCCAAAGAGGAATGACGATAGCATCCATGTTTTGTGAGTTTACCTAAACAAAAAGTACAATTACGTGTCAATTCTGTTGTGTTTTGTCTTGGGACGAAATATACTTACTGGCAAGCCTTCAGCAGGGTTGCAATTAGAAGTTGGCAGCCATGTTGGGGGTATATACAGGTCAACAACATGAATTGATTTTCCCTGAACAAGAATAAACATTCTTAACACAAAAAATATGTGATCCAAAGACAGAATTGACAAAGTGAATAAGCTCCTGGGCCCAATGAAAACTGTCATAGATTGACATGAGTAAACAATTAGGGTTGATAATAGGCACCGTTCTTTGTCCACTGTAAAAGCTGTACCTGTATCTGAAGGATTTCCTGCACGAGGCGCAGACAAGCATTTCCCATCTGTGAATATATGTACTTCAAGTATTAAAGTTTGAAATATCAAGGCTTATAATTCCAGAAATAACCGCATGCAACCTACAGCTTGGTCTTCCACTTTAGAGTGGGCACATTGAAATGACATTTTCTAAATTTCTTCCAATCAGTGAGCCACAATTCTGAACTTGGGTACCTCGGAATCCATGTCCTTTCGAAGCCCCAAAGTCTGGAAATTTCCCCTCGTCAGGCAAGTGTTGCAGTCTTTGATTATTATTTCATTTTCTGGATGCTTATCATCTAGAATGTATCCCAGCTATAACAAAAAACATGAGTCGCTTTATTTTTCTTACCTCTAAAATTTACAGTAATTATACATGTGCGAGACAACCAATCTATCTGAACAACTGCTGTGAATAATATACCAGTTGTTGTTGCTCTGGGTGGTCCCCTATTGTCCAGGAGGATCGACATGGTCTGAGGTTGGAGGTCTACGATCCGTCTCAGTCTGCTTCATCCCTGACAGCTACATTGCATAATTACGGAAGCTTGTTAGGTTCACTTGTGAGTGTGTTGTTTTTTTCCCGCTGGTATCATGTTATTTCATGAAACACAACTATCATGTTATTTCATGATACACAACTATCATATTATTTCATGATACACAACTATCATGTTATTTCATGATACACAACTATCATGTTATTTCATGATACACAACTATCATGTTATTTCATGAAACACAACTATCATGTTATTTCATGATAAATTGGTATCATGAAATAACATGATAGTTGTGTATCATGAAATAACATGATACCAGCGGGAAAAAAACAACACACTCACAAGTGAACCTAACAAGCTTCCGTACACATGGACTCTTAGAAGAAACCCATACGAATTGCTATCTCTGCAATGTATTAGTTCTCTACAATGTATTAGTTCGCTTCACATTTCTAGTCAGGGTGATGTGCATTTATTCATTAATACACTGTAACTTGTGGGACGGCCTAAAAATAAATAAAACACGTTGTTGGTTGTCACTTACTGTTTGCGTACGGTCTGCCATGTCTTCTCTTCAACGGATACACTTGCAGAAGTTCACGTGGATTCAAAATTCGTGTAGTAGGCGTGTCGGGTAGTGACGTCACTACCCGACACGCCTCCTTACTGCAAGCCGCAGACAGACCCTTCTCGTCTGATCACCGCGGTGAAATGGCCCGGCTTTTCAAAATATGCGGTAATGTGGTCCGCATATTAAAATCGAGTGGCTTCTTTTGCCTGTTACTTACGGTAAAAGTGGTCTGGGAAGCCGCTGAGATGAGCCGCCAAAATGCACTGTTTGAAAATGAAAATGAAAAAAATCTAAATAAGTTGTGCGAGGATTGCAACTGTGTTTTCAAGCGTGCAAAGAAACATTCACTTTTACTGTGGAAAGAAAATTGGGATCGAAGTGTGCAATATTGGTCAAAATATGCACTTTTAAAATGTATGTGAACACACTTGTTCACTATGATGCCCTCGAACAAAAATACATATATAATTTTCACAGTGCAGTGAAAGTAGTTGCAAAGCCATTTTGACACAAAATGTCTTCAAATGTTTACAGTGAAAGTGAATGTTACTTTGCACATTTGTAGAGGGCATCACAGTTCATATGTGTGCAGTGAAACTAGTTGCAGAACTCTTTCAAATTTTGTTTTAATTAATTTTAAAAAAGTACATTTTGGACCTCTCCCCTCTGGGGGAGTTTGAGTACTCAGATGATCCAGGGAGCTCATGGATGTATTATAATAACTGGATAGGCTATTACTAGCTGGGAGCTGAAGGACCCATGTGGGTCAGCACTAGATCATATACGGAATCGGGACGGAAGCGGAAGTAAATATAACAAACTACTGTGAGATTTCATAACACTTTGAAGCAACTTTTGTTAAAGTTAAACTCATCATTCTATCAATGTGCAGAAGCCAGTACTTTTCCCTTGTTTTGTCTATCTGAAGGCCAAGCTACAAGCACACTGTGGCAGCTGCTGATTGGAGGTCTCCATGCCTCCGCTCTGTATAATACACTTGCATTCTGTTGTATCTGTGTTCGTGTTGTTCGTGCTGTCTCTACCATCGACAATAAAACATGTCTTCTGTCTGAATGAAAGACGCGATCCCAGACTTAGTCATCTTCTTCAGGTGGTGGAGAATGCGGGCCTTGTCTGTAACATCTACAGAAGAAGACTTTTTTTTTTAACACAAAAAAGTGTTTTTTTTTTTAAAGACAAAGCTGAAAAACCTCAAGAGAATGCATCTGGATCAGCACACATGGATTATCTGCACAGCCCCTGATTCCAGTCAGGCCTGCTGTGAGCTGCTGAGACATGGACAACACCATCGTCCTCTTTTGCATGGACATCATTTGGAACAATTGGATTACACAATTTGGACATGATTTGGAAAAATTGGATCACACAATTTGGACATTATTTGGAAAAATTGGATTACACAATTTGGACATTATTTGGAACAATTGGATTTCTGAATTTGGACATAATTTGGACTGAATTGAATTGCTGAATCTGGACACTGAAGCTGAAACGTGTGATTGAAAGACACGTCATAGAAGAATTCATGGCTCGACACAAATGCAGCCTGAAGAAACCAACACGGAGAAGTGGGAGAGACTGTTTTCAAAGCAATATCTGGAACCACCATCGACTGATGAAGTTTGGTATTTTACTGAAGATTGTTGACAAGTTTTATGAAAGATCCGAACATGTTTTATGAGTTTTTGAAGTATTCCGAGTTCTGAGTTTTTTGAAGTACCGAGTGAAGTACCGAGTTTATGAGTTGAAGTATTAGGTGATGATGTTATGTTGCTGTTTATCGATCCTGATGGTCACACGTGAATGTATGACCAGAGGGGGGAATGTGAGATTTCATAACACTTTGAAGCAACTTTTGTTAAAGTTAAACTCATCATTCTATCAATGTGCAGAAGCCTGTACTTTTCCCTTGTTGTGTCTATCTGAAGGCCAAGCTACATGGCACTGTGGCAGCTGCTGATTGGAGGTCTCCATGCCTCCGCTCTGTATAATACACTTGCATTCTGTTGTATCTGTGTTCGTGTTGTTCGTGCTGTCTCTACCATCGACAATAAAACATGTCTTCTGTCTGAATGAAAGACGCGATCCCAGGCATGTCATCCTCTTCACTACCTATTCATGCCTAACCTTAACCAGCCATTCCCATAAAATAACGACTCGACTGATGTCCAGCAGCATTTAATTTCATAGGCATTTTGAACACCATGAAAACCACAAAGATAAAGGAGAGCTTGTTGTAAATTTCCATACAGTATAATAAAAAATTGTTACAGGTCTCAAAATAAAAGACACAATTAAATAAAAAGGTTACCGTGTGCGCCTTAGTAGACCAATCATAGAATATAACTCTTTCCAAACTGCAAAAACGTCTCTTTATAACAGCATACTTTAAAATACTTCTCCATTTCTTTTTTGAGAAGCAAACTTAAACAGCAGCAAAAATTATCTGACTTTCCACGGTAACCAAAGCGTCAGTTATACTCAGTTATAACTTGAGTTGTCATGGTAACCTTAGTGCCAGTTACACTTAACCATCTTAACCAGTCACCACTTAAGGACTTATTTGTCTAAAACTAATTCGAAAGCAGGATTGTAACTTCCGGTTTTGTCCCGATTCCGTATATGATCTAGTGCCGACCGACCCATGTGCTCACGGGATTCTCGCGGTAATGCAGACTAAACCAGACTAAATTCATGCAGGCTACCCAGAAGTTTTCCCCATAGAACTCAATGTAAACTAAAACAGCTCGACCTCCGCTGACAGAGCATCTACAGCTTTCATAAATTTTGTATTTTGTGGGGATTTTAGTGTCCCTTGTCATCCTGAACTTTTTTTCTTCTTAAATACTTTGGTTTTCTTTAAATCCACACTTTAGTGCCTCAAACTTTGCTCGTTTGGCACCAGCTCTAACTCCCGCTCTGATCAGCAGCTCTGATTGGTCAGAGCACGGCCAATCATGAAATCACGGGCATGATCATGAAAATCATGCACGTAATTGCATGATGTATTTTTTATTTTTTTTTGAAAGATGCGCTGGGAGTCTGGCGCACACCGGGGTAGTCTTGCACAGTTTTTCCAATGTGGTTTTACTGCAAATGGCAAATAAATGAATCTGAATCTGAATCTGAGTCCTAAGTAGCTCTGAAGCAGTTGTTGTTTGGTGCTTTACAATTTTCATTGCTTTTTTCTACCTGATATGTTACGAGATCGCGAATACAAGCGGTCGAAATGAGCTTCCTCCGCAAATGACTGGGCGCTCCCTTAGAGATAGGGTGAGGAACTCAGTCACACGGGAAGAGCTTGGAATAGAGCCGCTGCTTCTCCATGTGGAAAGGAACCAGTTGAGTTGGCTCGGACATCTGTTCCGGGTGCCTCCTGGACTCCTCCCCGGGGAAGTGTTCCGGGCACGTCCCACCAGGAGGAGGCCCTGCGGAAGACCCAGGACAAGCTGAAGGGACTATGTCTCTCAGCTGACCCGAAAGGGTGAGTGGATAGGGACGTCTGGGCATGAATTGGAAGAAAAATAATGGATGAATGGATTTTGGACCAATATTGCACACTTTGACCGCAATTTTCTTAAAGTTTACACAGTAAAAGTAAATATTACTTGACACAATTTTAGAGGGCATCACAGTGAACTGTGAAGTGAAACAAGTCACAAAACTCTTTTAGAAAAAAAGAGTTGACTAAATACGGAGCTACCTTTTCACAAAACAGACAATGTTAGGGCAAGGCGGGAGCGTTATATTATGGTTTCGGATACAGACTTGGTCCGTGTGGTCAGTGTAGGCTATCCCAAAGATGTATTATGTTATTGGGGTATCCCCATCCTGACCCTCCTGACCATAGTATACTCCTCATATACAAGTCCATGATCCTGTTCCATACTGAGCATAGACCTATGACACCCAAACCTTTAGGAAACTTGAAATATTATCATTCCTACAAGTTGACCCTAATTATGCATCACGGGACACATAAACTTCTGCTTTGAGAACACTATGGTGCCCCGGAGGCTGCAGTGTTTTGCCAGCAACAAGCCGTGGATTAATTCTGACAGGCTCTGCTGAAAGCAAAGAAGCGCGATTTTTGATTGAGGAACAAAGAGGAGCTGAGAGATGCTGAGAGACATCTGAGAACATTTTGCCGCTTTTCCACAGTAATGGTAGGGTACGGTACGGTACAGCAGGGCCGAGTGTGTGTGCTTTTCCATTGAAAATAGTATCTCCTAGTATCTCCGCAGCGTTGTCACACCACGTCATTTACGTGCGACGCGTAACTAGTAACATTGGTGCGGTGCATGGATTTATTATAACATTGGTGACAGCTGGCTATTACCTCCTAGGGACTCTGCTTACACCCTGCAGAACTGGCTCCTAAAACCTTTTCAGGACACCGTGCAAGTGACAGGCGAACAGCAAGTATCTGATAGAAAATTCAGCACAGCGCAAGTAGTTGTTGAAAATGCTTTCGGCAGTCTTAAGGAATGACTCGGACACTGAACTTGAGAAGTCATTGGTGCTGACTAACCACGGAGAGACCTGTGACAGAATGGGACATACATATATAGCAACAGCAGCCTGTGGTAGCAGTGTTGCAGGAGGAGGGCAGAGTTATCCGATGCGTCGCTTGTCATAAGCCTAGACATTTATTTTGACCAAAAATAAAACCTTTTTGCATTTACCAAATGTCTCCATCCTTGTGCATAAAATTACCACGGTTATACGGATTTACGGACAAATAGAATGTATGTAATGTAAATAGAAGTAAGAGTATATGGTGGGAAATCGTAACTTTTGCTTTTGAACCCCTTTTCTGCATGTGTACAGACAAATGAATGAAGCAAAGTCTTGATACAATTACAGATTGTAAAGTGCAAAACCAACAATCTACAAAGTCCAAAGTATGTACAGTAGTGAGGCGCAGGTCATCTTTTTTTACAACCCGACCCGCCCGCCCCAAATTAAAACTCAACCCGACCCGACCCGAACCCGCAAACATTAAAACTACTGTTTTGCTTTTCAAAAACAAAGGACAACTCTTTTTCAGATAAAACAACAACATAACATGTTTAATTGACTGAATAAATAAAGGTCAATTTAAAGAACGGAACGGGAAAGGCGAGCCTACACATTTTTAACATTTCCTCCTGAACAATTAACTGTTAATACAGGCTTATTATTGACATTTTATTTAGCTTATTTTGCTGCACTATGAAGGAAGAGAATAGAGTCCACAGTTCCAGGATTCAGTCTATTATTCTGGCCTCCAGCACACGACCCGCAGAGCTGAAAGTGTGCTCACTGGAAGCGCTTGTGGCCGGGAAGCATAAAACGGCTTTTGCCACAAGTGATAAAGTTGGGTAATCACGTTGGTGATCTTTCCAAAAAGAGATAACATCCTTATAGCAATCTTCGAGGGAGAAATTATTGTTAATGTAACGCTGAACGTCATCATCTGCCTCAAACAGCTCCGCTGTGTCTTCCCCCTCAGCAAAAATCCGACGACTTTTTGTCTGGCATTCCTAGAATAATAATAAATACATACAGTAAATATAATAATCATAATGAATATGCTTTCTAATATTTTAGAAAGCTGTAAACTATTTATTTTATACCTCCACACGGCTCCTCCCCTTCCAAACTTCTTTCGCTGCTCTCCATCTCCTCCGATACCACTAAATAATAAATATATACACTCAATCAGAAATATTCACTCAATCTACTTTGAGATGTTAATTAATATAGGCTAAGCACGCGTAATCTGTAGCCTGCGTATACGTACACACCTGTTTCAGAAGGCCTCTGCTGTGATGCCAACACCGTCATCAGCTTACTCGCCTCTGCGTGGATTACGTGCCTTTCATCGGGCTGGAGAATCTTGAGACTTTTAAAGCGGGGAGTTAGGAAGGTGGCGATCTTGTGGGTGTTGGTCATGATTAATTTTTTGTTTAACAACCTCCCTGCGCGGTTGCAAATGTAATCAAGGTATTCGGGACTCCCACGCCGTGGCTCACAGTGCGCTTTGAGCTTACTGTACCAAAGAAGCACGGTGTTGATGGTGGGATAGCGATCGCCTTCCATTTCATCTGATGCATCTTTGAAAATGGACAAAAACCCGCCGACTGTGTTCAGCACTTCTACTTGGATGCCATCCAAACGGTGCCCTTGTCCCTTGACTTCAAGCAGCTCGAGGATCTGCCTGTACGGTTTTACCACAGAGTTTATCATCACGACTTTGGTGTTCCACCTTGTTTCGCTTTCCTACGTGACCGCGTAAGGCAGACTGAGTGTGCCACCAGACTTTAAGTAACCAACGCTTTGCACTGAAGTATTTGATTCGTGGCCAGACTCATGAATACTGCCGCATCTTTATCCTCAAAAGTATGTTTCAGGATTTTGTTAAGGACATGTGCGGCGCATGGCATCCAGGAGTAATTTTTCAGTGCAGCTTTTATATTGGGCCCCTGATCTGTGACAAATACAACCCTGGCAAGGTGCTGTGGAGACACGCCAATGTCTATTAACTCCTTGCTTATCTGGTCGTGTATGTTTGCAGCAGTTTTCTTCTCGTTGGCATCGAACTCCAAAGTAGAGATTACGCGACTCAGTAGTATCCACTCCTCAGTGATCAAGTGTCAGCGCAGTATATGATCAAATATTAAATCCATCCGTACACATATCGGTAGTGATGCCAATCCCATTGTTATGTCTGTTCTAGTGCAGATGAACAGTAGAGGCGTGTTTAATAAACTTGTATTTTTATTCAGAACAAGTAGCTACGGCAGGCTCGTACATCACACTCGTGCGGGCTGTAAAACAGGAAGTAAACTTCAACCCCCACACATGCGTAACTCGCAAGGAATCATGGGAACTGGAGTTCCCATGTTACTAACACGTAACACCACATCTTCCCCCCTAAGAAAGAAAACAATATGCTCAGGCAACACACCAAACTTCTATGACTACTTTTTTTTTTGTTTTTTTTTTTTTAACAGTCCCTGCTACATTCAGCAACTCTCAATCAATCTCTGCGGTGGCTTGATGTGTCTCTGAGGTCTCACGAGTCTCTCAGCAGTGGGTGACTTGACGCTGCTGTTTGACCATTGTCAGCGTGATCGCTGTTGGACAGTTCAGGAAGTTCAAGTGGGTCTTGTTGAAGCTCGACCTCCTGAGCTGCTGTGTCCTCCACAGTAGGTTGCAGTCGAAGATCTGTGCGATTCCTCCTCAAAGATAGTCCACCCTCGGTTCGGACCTTGTAGGAACGTGGAGAAAGTTCTTCCTCAACATGTCCCTGTTGTCTCCATGTACCTGTGTTAATGTCTCTGACACGCACTCGGTCGCCATGTTTCAATGTAGATAGAGGTTTTGCCGTCCTGTCGTGTAGCTGTTTCTGTTTCTCTTTCTGTCTTTCCTTTACCTTCCTCACCTTAGATGCACCTTTGGGTGTCAGCAAGTCCTCACTGACTGGCAGGTTGGAACGAATGCGGCGACCCATCAGCATGTGTGCAGGTGATAGGCCGTTCTGGAGAGGCGTGCTCCTGTAAATGAGCAGGCTCTTCTGAAAATCATCTCTGTCTACTGCCTTCTTCATGAGACCTTTCACTATCTTTACAGAGCTCTCCGCCAGACCATTGGATTTCGGGTAAGTAGGACTCGAGGTTGTATGTCGGAATCCCCACTCACTGGCAAAAGAAGCAAACTCACAGCTAGAAAACTGTGGGCCATTGTCTGTAAACAGTTCGCACGGAATGCCGTGTCTTGCAAACACTGTCTTTAGGTAGCTGATGACTGTTTTGCTTGATGTAGATTGCAATTGTCCGACTTCAGGATAGTTAGAAAAGTAGTCTGTGACCACGATGAAAGTCTTTCCATTACAGTCAAACAAGTCAGCTCCCACTTTGTAGTACGGTCGGTAAGGCACAGGATGAGGCATCAGCGGCTCTGCTTGTTGTTTTGGTCTATATATTTGACAAAGTTCACAAGACGCAGTAGCTTGGTGTATGTCTTGGTTGATTCTCGGCCAATACATAACTTCTCTGGCCCTGCGCTTGCACTTGACTTCTCCGAGATGGCCTTCGTGTATCTTTTGGAGCATTACTTTTCGTAGTGAGGATGGAATGACAAACTTGCTTCCCTTGAGTATTATGTCATCCACCACTGTAAGCTCCGCTCTGTGATTCCAATAGTCCCATATTTTCTTTGGACAGTTACTTTTGCTTTTAGGCCATCCTTTCTGTATCGTCTCTTTTAGTTCTTTCAATGTCTCATCTTTGTTTGTTTCTTCTCTGATCTGCACTGTTCTGTCTGCAGTAACCGGTAGAGATGTCACAATCATATCCACATAAGCCTGTACTGTATATCTGCACTCTTCTCACTGTCAGCACTCTCTTCCCTGTCCACTGCTCGGGATAAAGTGTCGGCGGTGAACATGTACGTCCCTGGTGTATATATCATCCGCACATCATATTTCTGTAGTCTTATTAACATGCGTTGAATTCTTACAGGGCAGTCATTTAATGGCTTAGACATGATTGAAACGAGTGGTTTGTGGTCTGTTTCCACTTCAAACGCTTGTCCATAGACATATTGGTGAAATCGTTCACACGCATACGTACTTGCGAGAAGTTCTTTCTCAATTTGGGCGTACCTAGACTCGGCGCTCGTCAAGGCCCTGGATGCATAGGCGACTGGTAGCCACTGTTCCTCATGTAGCTGTAGAAGCACCGACCCCAGGCCGTACTGCGAAGCGTCTGCCGAGACCCTTGTACTCCTCTGGGGATCGTAGAACTTCAGCACAGGCTCTTGTGTTAGAGTCTCTTTTAGCTTCCTGAAGCATTGTTCCTGCTCATGTGACCAAAGCCATTCATTTTTCTGTTCAAGCAGGCTTCTCAGAGGTGCAGATTGTGTGGACAGATCTGGTATGAATTTAGCCAGGTAGGTGACCATACCAAGGAACCTTCTGACGTCATCTCTGTTGTGGGGTCTCTCCATGTTGTGTATTGCAGATACCTTTCTTGGATCTGGCTTCACCCCGTCTTCACTGACCACATCACCGACAAAGGTAAGTGTTTTCACTCCAAACTCACATTTGTCCTTATTTAGTTTCAAGTTGGCCTCTCTTATCTTGTCGAGTACTTGTCTCAGCCTCATGTCGTGTTCTTCTCGAGTAGAACCCCATACGATGATGTCATCCATCATGGTGTCGACTCCTGGTATGTGCTCAAATATCATGTGTATGGTTTTGTGATATACCTCGGGTGCAGACAAGATGCCATACGGGAGACGAAGAAAGCGATACCTGCCCTCAGGTGTGTTGAAGGTGCAGAGCTTCGAACTCTCTTCATCTAGCCTCAGCTGCCAGAAACCCGATGAGGCATCTAGTTTGCTGAACCATTTTGCACCAGCAAACTGTGCCATGATTTCTTCTCTGGTTGGCAGTTTGAAGTGTTCTCTCTTAATTGCCTTATTAAGATCCCGTGGGTCAAGGCATGTTCTCAGAGCACCTGTCTTTTTTTGAACTAATGCCAGTGAACTGACCCATTCTGTAGGCTCGTCAATCTTCTTGATGACTTCCATTTTTTCCATGCGTGCTAGCTCCTCATTTAGCTTCTCTCTAAGCTTGAATGGCACCTTCCTGCAGGGATGCACAACAGGGGTCACGCTTTCATCGACACGTATCTTGTGTAATCCAGGTAGAAATCCGAGTCCTTCAAAACAGTCTTTGTACTCCACCATGAGCGAGTCGTGATCGTTTGAAGGCGATGTCACTACAAACACTTTCTTGACCAGATTGAGTTTTTCACATGCACTGAGTCCAAGAATTGGCTGTACGCTCTTATCCACAATCAATAGCTGTGCCTTGATCTGTCGCCCTTTATTTTTGAAGGTTGCGATGCAGCTCCCTGTCACAGGTATGGTTTCACCTGTGTATCCTGTCACTTTAATCTTTACAGGATGGATCTTGCCTTTGACCGTCAGCGTTCTGTAGTCCTGGATAGATAGTAAGTTCACCTGGGCCCCTGTATCCAGCTTGAATGGAATTACTGTCTCATTTACCTCTATCGGCACAATCCATTCAGCTTTATCAGTGCCGCAAGTCTGTACACTGTCCACTACAAACTCCTCCTCCTCTTCTTCCACTGCATGTACTTTCTTCTTTATTGACGTCACTTTGCAGCATTTAGAGAAGTGATTGATTTTTCCACAGCTATTACATGACTTGCCATAGGCTGGACATGACTTGGGTTTATGACTACACCCACATCTACTGCACTTGTACTCAGATAATTTCTCCCTTGTATCATTTTGTTTGATAGGTGGCTTTCTTTTCTGTTCTCTTTTTACAACATGCACTGCGGTTTCCTCTCTGCGCAGTTCCTTGGCCTGTGCACGGGTTGTTTCTGCAGCTCTACACATGGTGACACATTTCTCCAGTGTCAGTCCCGTCTCACGGAGCAGCCTTTCTCTGAGTGCATTATCATTAGTCCCGCAGACTATCCTGTCTCTAACTAATGAGTCTTTTAAAGTCCCAAACTCACAAGTTTTACTCAGTGTGTGAAGCTCAGCTAAATACTGATCAAAAGGTACTCCTTGTTTCTGGCCATGAGTAAAAAACTTGTACCGCTCAAAAGTCACATTCTGTCTTGGCACAAAATACTCTTCAAACGTATTCATAAGTGCAGTCAACGTCAGGTTAGCTTCATCCAATTGAAAGCTATTATATATGTCCAGAGCATCTTCTCCAATCACATGCAAAAAAATTGACGCTTTCAATTTTTCATCATCACCACCCGCTCCACTAGCTGCTAAGTAGATATTAAATCTTTGCTTAAAACGTTTCCAATTGTCTGCAAGGTTACCAGTCAGTTGCATGCAAGACGGTGGGTTTAGTTTATCCATGACGACAGGTCTGTGTACAGGGATTTCTCCAACTTGAATCTCTTCTGGTTCGTTATTTTCAGGAACTATATCAGCATCTACTTGTGGTGAACGTTCCTCTCCCTCCTTCACAACGCGATCGTCTTCATTATCAGCCATGCCATCTTCGCCGTCACACGTAGTTCACTTCTTTATACACTTGGCTCTCGCTGCAAGACGCAGATTTACTTTTCTTCTGTCTTCTCTTGCCAACGACCATCTTCTGACACCATGTTATGTCTGTTCTAGTGCAGATGAACAGTAGAGGCGTGTTTAATAAACTTGTATTTTTATTCAGAACAAGTAGCTACGGCAGGCTCGTACATCACACTCGTGCGGGCTGTAAAACAGGAAGTAAACTTCAACCCCCACACATGCGTAACTCGCAAGGAATCATGGGAACTGGAGTTCCCATGTTACTAACACGTAACACCCCACCCATGATAAAGCTCATTGTTAATAACTTCACATAAAGCGGCCTTTTCGTGTTTGAAAGCACCATTATTCTTTGCCCTGTCACAAATTGTCTGTCTATGAGGAATCACGGAGTCTGCATCCACAGAACCATATTTGGCTCCAATATTGATGTGTCCCTGTGCCACACTGGTGAAGCCTTTGCCTGAGACAATGTCGAATGGGCGCAAATCAGCGCAGCAGAAAAATCCACAAAATGATCTACAAGTTTGGATTTTGTAGAGAGGGGCACTTTGTTCTGTATAAAAGTTGTAATCTGAGGCTGCTGTACGTGTGTAGTTGTCTCACCGTCACATTGATGGCGAATCAGATTTGATGTACCAGTTTTGTGGCTGTCGTACCTGTACAATACCTTACAAGTTAAGCAAATTGCGTGATCTGCAGTAGAACCATCTGGCAGAACGATTTGTCAAAATTTCTCCCAAGCTTTACTCTTCTTGCCTCCCCTGTTTTTAATTTGTCTCTTATCAAATCCGCCATGATGCAAGCTAAATCAATCTCGGATAAATTACCGCTCTAAGATAGGCCTACGGATGCCCTTAGGCCAAATAACGGAACTTAGGTTCGATTTCAAAACTATAGCTAGCTAGCTAGCTAGCCTCCCATGATAATCTATATACTGTATATTATATATACATTATTATTTACATATATATATTTATATTATTATTTACATATTTTTATTTATATTGTGGCGTGCCACGGTAGTGCTCTGTTCTCTCAAGTTTAGTGTTATATAGACTGTTAAGTGCTTGCACCATAACTGAGCTCACCATGTCAATTGATAGGATAGCTCCTTTGCTGTCAGTGAGTTATATATGTTAAGTGTCAAGATTAAAGTACTTAAACAATGCTTTCATGCAGCGTAAGTGGCACAGGACAAGCAGATAGATTTATCTCCACTACAAAATCGTCACAGCATTCACACAATCATACATGTCTGACCCGACCTACCCGCACCCGACCTTACATACATCATTGAGACATCCGGCCTGCGGATTGACCGCGGGTTTTGGGTCGACCCGCGCATCACTAATGTACAGTATGTTTCTTGAGACAAGGTCCAGATGAGGGGAAAGTGAAGTACTCCAGTCACTCACTGCTTGTTGGTAATCTCACTTGCGGGAAGAGATTCTCAAACAAATATACACACAACAACTTAAGTGCAAGCACAAAACAGAATGGCAACTCGCGAAAGAGCAAAATACAGCACAGTAGCGCTTGCTATCGATAGCTAAATGTAGCTAGCTCATTGTGTACAACCTATAGATCCATGTGTACAACAGACAATCAAACATTCACACGAGTAAATACATTTCAGTGAGAGCTTTATGCCAACGGGATGCATAGCTAACCAATTATTTCTGGGATTACCACAGACTAGTCACAAATCAAGAGTGATCTCCCTGAAAACCTTGTGAAACCTCCGTGTTGTGCTGTTGAGCTGCCTTTGAATTCTCTCTTCGGCCTAAAGAGAGTAACGTGTGGATCTCGTCGACCGACCAGGACGTTGACTTTTGGGGTTTTCTGTGCGATTCCATTTCTCTGGTGTGAGGAGGACGTATTATAGCTGTAGAAGAGCAGCCGGTTTTAAAGATGGCGGGTTTAGTTGTTTTTACCATAGGATCGGACGTTGCGTCCAGTGAAATCACTCGTTGACCAATCAGTGTAATGGTGCTTTCAGACCGGATCATGCGTTGCGTCTGCTTTCAATGCAAAGTCTATGGTGACGAGTGTTGCAACGTCACAACGCACGGACCTCTCGGGACGCACGGACTTGGCGGGAAAGTCAAAGGGGAGGAGCAGGAGCGAAAAATCAACGCCCACAGGAGATGGATTCTGCTCATCCTTTCCTCGGGACGTTCGTGCAGCGACCAATCAGAGAGCCGCAAAGTGGTCACGGGGACATTAGCGGACTGAGCGAGCAGACTGAAAATACTCGTAAACAGCCAAAACAGGACCCACACCAGGCTTCACTTGAACTCAAACCAGGGTTGACAATGGGGGACTGTGTGCTTGTGAAAATATGCGTTGTCATGCTCCCGTGACTTTATGCAACTGCATCGAGTGTGTTCGCCGATGCGGAAATTCCGTTTAATAATATGAAAAAAACGTATGGCGCACCTCCGTGAACACATATTACGTTATATAAAGCCCGTGGAAGGTCTCTGAACACAGACACGCTGCAAAGCTGCATATTGGAGAAGATCTGTACACAAGAAGCCGCTAGCTAAACTCTGTTACCTCATAGCCTGCCGGCTACTTCCGGTGCGCGTTAGGACATCTCGGTGTGAAGTCCTCTGCGTCTGAAAACTAGAGAATGCGCGTCTGGTGAGCGGGGCTTCAGCGTTTCACCGTTGGCGGTCTGAAAGCACCATAAGGCAGTCGGCCGACGTCACGTCCTGGTAACGCTTGGGCCCGGCTGGAACCATTGTTGAGGTGGTACAAAAAAGGTACCCAAACCCTGACCCCAACCCTAGTGGGGTTGTGGCAGTCAGAGCTGCACCCAGTACACTTAGCACCAGCTTCTCACTGATCCTCCTATAGGTGGTGAGTCCACAGGAGCTGAGATCTTTCAGCGGGGGTTTCAGGCAAAGTAGGGTTAAGTGTCTTGCCCAAGGACACAAAGACAGTAGAAATCAGTGCGAGTCGTGAAGTAGGTCTTACGATGGGCTTGAACCCACAATCTTCAGGCTCAAAGGCCAATGCTCTACCAACTGAGCCTCTGTCGCCCCCTTATATACTTCTTTATTATTACTATTTTGTTCACGATAGAGATTTTATACTTACTATTGATGCTAGAGTTAGAGATTTAGTTTTATTTTAATTAGTATAGCTATTGTTCAATTGTCTTGTCCTGTGTGCTCCTCTTTCCTACTGTTCTATAACTTGTGATGCAACACTGAAATTTACCCACTGTGGGACGAATAAAGGATCTCTCAATCTTAATCTTAATATTTAAATTTGGGGATTTTATGAGAAAAATACATACAATCTTTTTGGGGCTTTCTACATTCACAAATAACGTCCTAATTCTTGATTAAACTAATTCGCATTATTTCCTATGAAATATATCTGTGTTGACCGACAGTAGTGTTTGTTGTTTTTAGATCATAACAGCAGGGGGCGCTGTTCAACCACAGACGAGATGGACCTTTTCAATGACGCACAGTACAATCATTCCCACAGTCTCAGCGTTTTCATGTTTCAAATCACTATCTCTAAACTCACTGTGTTCCTGTGTTCTCCTGCTTTGACAGAAGAGAGATGTATGTGTCTCAAGCCTCGACAGCTTCAGATTGTGAATACATTTAAGGTGCTTCTCCCACGAATGTAAGCTAAAAAGAAAATGTGTCTATAATACTTTCACAAATTAACAACGCAGGTGAACTGCTAATAAACTCTGTGAAAATGATATTGGTCCAATATTTTTGGAAAGTGGTCAACTCCCCCTATGGACCAATACCTGTGTTCTATATTTTCTGCGTTTGACCGTTTTGATTCTCAGATATGTGTTGGCGTTTTCAATGGCTTCGTTAACTCCTCTCAGATGACTACTGTTGCGATTTAGAATAAATTGAATTGAATTTATATTCTCGGGGCAGGAACCTGTGCTTATGAGAGATCTGCAATAGCGACATTTTCATAGAACCTTAGTTATATTAGGTAACTGGGGTTTGTAGTTTGTCCCTCAACCACCAGAAGACACAATCTCTTCCAAAAATGGAAAGATGATATGGTCCCTTCCCCACTGAAACAGAAGGGTAGACTAACGCTACTAATATTATCAAAAGTGTTCCAGGACCCACCAAATATGCAAATCAGCCATGTTAATTAGATCTAGTCATCATTCGAGCTCTTCCTAACACAATCGATCAAAAAAAAAAAAAAAATCTTGGGATGAAATATTTAGAGGGTAAGTGTGTGTATGGGGACAGTTGTAAGTGTTGAAGGACTTGGAAGCCTTCATTGGCTTGCTAATTTAGGGAGGAGTTTGAGAAGATTTTTAATGAAAACGTCAAGATAAAGTAATTCTGATTCAAAGGTTTGGCCTAATGGTGGCGCTAGAGGGGAAGTCAACTCACTGATTTTTAACGGGTTATTTATGTATTCAAACAAACCAAGAGCCTGTCACAAAAACTTGGTTAACAATATTCTGTAAATCATTTTCTGGAAGTAAATATCCCTGGGGTCAGATTGACACCAAGGGCCAACATATTATATTTGAGGACGATAGGAGGCTTAAACCATATATACTGTTAAAAGTACACAAATATAAAACACAAACCATGCAATTAAAAGTATATAAACAAAATTAAAAGCGTGGGATTAAAAACTTGTGCCCCTGACATCTTCTTAACTGTGCCTTTAGTGAGGAACGACATGAGACAGAAATGTCGGGGCTCAGTGTGGATAAGAAAGTGTTTATTTTGTTTGAACAGAATCACAGGTCAAGAATCTGCAACATGGGAGAATCACACTGGACACGGGGTCGTCTCAAACTGCCTTTTATTACATCTTAAATAACAGTACATTTGAATATAGTTTCTATCTTGCATCCAGCGTTCGCTTGTACACTGACTGACTTCAAATTAAATACAGTAAAAGAAATGGGGTGTGGGGGTTGGAGCTCGAGTTAGAGTTAAATGGAGCATAAGAAGAAAAAGAATAAGAATTTAAGTAATTTTAATTTTTTAAATTAATTTACTTTTATTTGCCAACTCCAGGCCTAAACGCACAATTACAGCACGTGTGTACAGACTGTAGCAGAGGGAACAGTGAGTAAGTCACTAGTGCTTCAGAGAGAGGGGTCTGCCAGCCAGCCGGGGTGCAGGACACAAGAGTTGGTGGGCCTCGGGGATGAGGAGGTGGGTCTGCATGAGTGGGAGGTGGACCTGCATGAGGGTGAGGTGGACCTGCATGAGGGTGAGGTGGACCTGCATGAGGGTGAGGTGGACCTGCATGAGGGTGAGGTGAGCCTGCAGAAGGGCGAGGTGGGCCTGCAGGAGGGGGAGGTGGGCCGGCTACAGGAGGATTAAGAGCTGTGGGGAGTCCTGGTGATGTTTGCAAAATGGGTTAGATTAGGGTTAGGTAACCCTGACTCTAACCCACCCCACAGTGGACAGGCTCTGCTTCTCAAGTGCATAGATTTGCCTTCTGACTTCATGAATGCACAGAGTAGCCGAGAACAAGGAGAATTAAAAGAATACAAAATATAAATACCATATCATAGTATTTATGATATATCAACATTTCTTCTTAAAGAAAAACATCAAAGAATTGAATTTCATATGCACCTTTTAAGCAATTCTACAGCATGCGATTCTAAGAGATACCCACCCATGGCAGACAACCAAAACCTTTTTTTGTGGTTTTTAACTTAAAAAGTTTCAATCATTATTTTCAAACATTGATTTATACAACATGTCATTCACAGAGTAGTAACTGCATTTCCAAGAGTGGACGTGAGGGTCCCGCTCACGGCCCAGGGGAGGAAGCAGAGGAGCAGGAGGATGAGGGAGTAGAGGAGGAGGAAGGAACACAGGAGAAGGGAGGTACAGGAGGAAGAGCGAGCAGAGGGAAGGAGGGTACAAAGGAGGAGCGAGCAGTGGGGGGGTAGAGAGGAGGAGCAGCGAGTGGTAGGAGGAGGGGCAGCGGTATGTGAGTGGCAAACGTCATTCTCCTCATAGACAGCATGTGCTTTGCTAGTTAGCATGATCCTATATATGTAGCTTTCTTCTGTGCAACAAAGACATGACGAGACTCAACAGAGGTTCCCAAAGTGTGGCGCAGGTTTAGGGGCCAGCTTCCAAACGTGCTGCTCCAAAAGGATGAGCAAAAGCTTTGATCCTGGACGGTCTGACAGCTACAGCCAACTGTCAAACTCAAGAGTGACGAGAGGAGCGGGGGTGCAGGGTGGGCCAGGCCACGCCTTGAGAGGGACCGGAGCCGCACCTCGGGAGGGACTGGTGCCGCGCCTCGAGAGGGACCACCACATTGTTGTTGTTGTGCTCTTTTAAATAAGGAGAGATTGTTGCCCTTGATAGTTTGTGGGATGACTGGAGTCAGTACATCGGTGGGTGGAAAAGATCGGATATGCCAGAAAAAATTTACATTGTGAAGTTGGAATGGTCTTCCACTCTACGTAGAGTCCGGAGGCAGCCTGCGGACACAAAGGGAGGTGTAAGCCTGGCAGGTCTGAGGTCACATGACCTTCGTTATCTACAACATCTGTTCTGTATGATAATATTCTGCCCATGAAAATTCTTCAGACGCCCAAACACAGGCCCGAGCCACCTCAACTGGCTTCTCTCCACGTGGAGAAGCAGTACTCTGATATCCTCCCATGTCATGCTTCCTCCCTTCCTCACTCAGAGAGAGCCCCCCCTCCCGAGGGAGGACCTCCTCCCCTGGACTTATCACTAGTATGATCCTCCCTGAGAAAGCTGCTCTGTGGTCGTCGTACAGCTCTGTGGTCATACTCATTCTGCCACTACTAGGTGCACTTCAGGTAAGACAGATCACTTCTGTTCATTCATGCTAAAAATATGACTGAAATATATTTAGTGACTTTTGGTAGTGCAAGTACCTTTGGAATCTAGTTCCAGATTTTGAGGAAGCTGTCCCAGGACCCTGTAGCCACAGCCATACCGTCATCGGTCACACCCAAACAGCTGACCCGGTTATCATGGCCCGCCAGGACACCTGCATCACACACACACACAAAAACCCTATATGTCAAGACCTGGCACTTTTAATGGGTTTATTATACCATATTATTTCTTGTGCTGCCCTTGGGTCATTTAGACCCATTTCAGACCCTAATTTAGGTATTTGTCTTCCATTTTAATGAATCTGGGGTGGGTGATTTTGACCCGAGGGTAGCACAAGTGTTCAAAGAGTGTGTTTGTGACTATGCGCTGACACACCTGCGCGGTCGGCCTTCAGGGAGTCCCACACGTTGCAGTTGAAGTCGTCATACCCGGCCAGCAGCAGCCGCCCACTCTTGGAGAACGCCACCGAGGTGATGCCACAGATGATGTTGTCGTGGGAGTACACCATAAGCTCCTGGTCAGCCCGCAGGTCGAAGAGCCTGCACGTGGCATCGTCGGATCCCGTGGCGAAGGCGTTTCCATTGGGGAAGAACTGAAACCATGACAACAGCAGAGAGAGGGCCTACATCAGCACAGGTCAGCTTCAGAACAGAAGACAAGAGATCCTCACAGAGAGGAAATTAAAACAGAAAAACTATTCACCCTTCACCTTAGACAATTATTGAGCATGAGAGACTGCACCAGCTCAGTGTGGGGGCCAGCGTAATACTGATGGTATAGTGGACCCCTGCTGATCCACTATCACTAGACTACCAATGTCAAACATGCGTTGCCCCAAACTAAGCTCTCGAGTCTGCATTTTGTGTTTGTCTTTGAAGAGGACCATCTTTACACTACTTACACAGATAGCGTTGATGTCGGACTCGTGCCCTGTGAATGTCTGCCGGCACATGCCTTCCCTCACGTCCCAGAGTTTGGCTGAGGCATCACAGGCTCCAGACACAAAGAGCCTGGTGTCAGGGGCCAAAGACAGGCTCATCACGTCCCCAGTGTGGCCCGCGAAAGTGGTGGTCTGTTGACCCGTCTCGATGTCCCACAAAGCACTGCAGAGAGCACACACAGTCATAAAATAACAAAATGATATGTGCATGCAGAGGTATTCTTCACTACAAGACAACTCATGAGGGCTCTCGAGCTGAATCTAAAATCCACAAGCAGATCTCATGAGTGTCATTTGGGTTGCCAGGTTCTTTGAATGTAGAAAACGTTTCTCCAAAAGCAAACATTTAAGTCTTGAAGTTCCGTGTGTAACATCAGGAGCAGAGCTCAACACTCATGAAAGATGATGAAGATGAAGGGAACCTTTCTTCGCCCCATAGTGTCTGTGTTGCCGCACATGTTACAGAACAGTCAAATGAGGAGCACACAACACAAGATGAGTGAATATCAAGTATGGCAAAACTCTATACTTTAAGATCAAAGCAAAATCTCTTTACCTTAATAAAGAAGCAGAAATGTTAGTTTTACATTACAATCATTTCACTGATTTGTCATGTCTGACTCACTTGAGCTCATTTGCATATTCATTTCAAAAGAAACTTGTGACAAACATTTGACTTTCTATGAATCCTCTAGTGCATAGGTATCAAAGTCAAGGCCCGGGGGCTGGATGCGGCCCACGAGACCATTTCCACTGGCCCCTGAGATGATTTAAAATTATTATATTAAATAGCAGCATTGATGGTAATAGGCGGCAATGGCATGTTATCCATTACTAATTTTTCTCAAGAAAACAACCATAAAATGTAATTCCATAAGAAATGTTAAGCCGACATGTAATTAGAAGTTAATATTGTTATGTAATGTTCAATGTTGTCTTCAATTACATTTCTTCTTAAAGATATGAAGGAGGATTTCCCAATTTTCTTTTTGAACAAAACTCCCTGACAAGCACGAACCACCAGAATGACAGATAATTAGGAGGACCAATAGTCTTGATGATCCACCCAGAAGTAAAAAATCTTCCTATATAAGATAAGAATTCCTTTATATTCCTTCAATATTTGGTCCAGTTTTGGTTCAGTCCAAAGTAACTGAACTAATTCGAATCAGAAAAGAATGTCCAATCCAACTAATGTGAAATAAGTCATTCATTTAGATACCTTCATATTACAAACAAAATTAATAAATGAAACCCACTTATTTTATTTTATCGGTCCCTGACCAGCCCTTGCATTTTTTTTCGGCCCTCAACCAAAATAAGTTTGACACCCCTGGTCTAGTGTGTAAGGTCTCAGACAGGTACAGGTCTACTGTAGTCAGCCTCAGGATCTCAGGACTTTAGTGTGTGGTTCTGTACAAAATCATTATTGCAATGTATTCATCTCAAAACGGACTTTTTCCTGGACTAAGGGTGCAGTTCCTCCACTCACCACGTAGTGTCTCCAGAGCTGGTGACGATCTGGTTATCATCCAGGAAGCGACAGCAGGACAGGTACCCTACACACACACACAATGCATTGAAAGCAACTTTTAAACATAAAAAACATAAAAATGTGGGGTCTTGGCGGGGTCTTGGCGGGGTCTTGGCGGGGTCTTGGCGGGGTCTTGGTCCGGTCTTGGTCCGGTCTTGGTCCGGTCTTGGTCCGGTCTTGGTCCGGTCTTGGTCCGGTCTTGGTCCGGTCTTGGTCCGGTCTTGGTCCGGTCTTGGTCCGGTCTTGGTCCGGTCTTGGTCCGGTCTTGGTCCGGTCTTGGTCCGGTCTTGGTCCGGTCTAGGTCCGGTCTAGGTCCGATCTAGGTCCGGTCTTGGTCCGGTATAACGATGGAACCATGCTGCCTACACACCTGTGTGTCCTGCCAGCTCTCGGCTCACACGCACGTTGCCCTCGCGTGTCTTCAGGTTATAGATGGAGCAGATGTTGTCCAGACCTCCACATGCGACGTAGTTCCCGGATGGGGCATAGGCACACGTCATCACCCAAGAGGAGCGCAGGGGGATGGCATGGACCTGCCGGAGCACAGGCACAACTTTATAGAAAAGGAGGTACCCAGACCCCAAAACTCATTTGAGCACTCTATTCCCAATCCAGGGCTGCACTAGGCCCTACTGAAGAGCAGGACCATGGCTACAATTCAATTAAATTACAATACACAACAGCAGTGGGTAAGACCCGCAACTTCATATTAGACTTTAAAGGGCCTATATTAAGATTTTTGACTTTTCTCTGCTTTAAACATGATTACAGTGCTATTTGGCCTTCATACACATGCCCACAGTAGTTTTTTCATTGATTCTGTCAATCTTTAGTAAGAGCGTGATCTGTCTCCTTCAGCCTCGAGAGGCACAGAAACGCCCTGGTCCACTTCAGTGACGAATACCACTCTGATGACAAATATGACGCGCATAAGCCCGTTTGCTTTGTATTTAAAATGGTTTTGAAATACATTTGTCAAAACGGGGTAAACAATACACAATAAGTATGCTGTTTGTTGTCAAAAATAATACAAATAAAAATAGTTGTAAAAGCCGGCGGGAGTTGATTGACCGATCGAAACAGCAAATCAGCGCAGCCCAAGTCCAGCATCCAGCGTCTGTGCTTTGATCCCATGGACACCACATGGAGCTGCTGTTTTTCTGTTTTTGTCAGCCACTATAAGTGATCACGTCAACTTGGATAAAATGTGTTTTGGGTGTAAATATGAGACGCACTATTTGGCCCAAAGAGGAAGAAAGCGGCTTGACTTTTTTCATCTGTTCATCTCATGGATCCATTATAATAACTGTTCATCTGCGACACTTCACTGAGACTGTTCCAGAACTACAGGGACAATGGAACTGGACTTACTCAAAAGATGATCTGGAAACATGTGTTATTCCCACGATAAAAGATGTAGCACGGACCCCCCCGATCTGTGAGTACAGTGATGCTAACATGGACCCTCGATCTGTTAGTAGTGATGCTAGCTCGCCGTATAATTCTGTAAACTAAATTATCGGGGTCTGATTGTGCATCGAGGACATAGGGCTCGATGTGATGGATTGTCATGTTTGGAAAGAGTTTATTTGTATGTCTGAAATGACTAAGTAACGGTGATAAACAACTCAGAGCGTGATGCTACGTCACTGTGCGGGCGGGAGGAGGTGGGCTCACGGACAGAGGAGCAGACTCTGGATCAGCTCGTTTGAGTTGAGGTGACGTCACCTCTAGACAAGAGATGGCTCTAATCTCACAAGTTTTGGGTGTTGTGTGGTGTATCACACACATTATTATCACACACGTGTATAGAATTGACTGTGAAACTTGAAGAAAAGCGTAATATAGGACCTTTTAAGGTGCACTTTATTGATACCCGTAGAGCAATTCACCCTCTGCATTTGACCCATCCTGATGCCGCAGAGGCCCCGACTCCACCGGGCGCGTAAAACAGACGACGGATCCGTCCAAACATGTCCGTTTCAGCTCCGTATCCCGTTATCTCCATAAGAGTGAATGGAAGTGGCTCCACTGCCTCCAACATGCGTCCGTCCGACGCACGTTGGACACATTCCGTCAACGGACGCGGGCGGACGAAATAGAAACAATCCTATTTGTTCCGTTGGTCGACGCGTGTCGGGTCCATTTTCCATTGAAAATACAATGGAATAATATATTTACCACATTATTAAACATGTATTGATATATGCTGTGGTCCTGTTTATAAGTGTTTGTTAATGACAATGATTATTAACAAATGTGTGTAATTTTTTTCATGTATTAAATTGAAATAATTGTTTCCTTTCGCGTAATGTTAATACGCTAAACTTTACATAAAACTCGCTCTTTTTCCTCTCGCTCTGTCCCCTCTACCTCCAAGGTTGCGCGCACGCCCACACGCACACACACACACACACACACACACACTTTTTCCAATAAGTTTTGCCTCATCCATCGCGACGTCCTCGATGCTTCAATATGTTGTGCTTTGCACTGATCATAGCCACAGCTCATACAAATCACACACCGCTTCTTCTACTTAAAACAATTCCTCACGGGGTGCTGTTGAACGCACAGCCAGAGCTGCTGCAGCCGGTTTGGCCACTATTTTGTTTCACGGACGTCTGACGGGCAGCAGCCAACGCGCGTCAACGGAGAGGCGCCCGGTGGAGTCCAGGCCTAAGGCTTACGTCAGGAGCAGTGGCCGCCGTAGTAACAGCGCCCGGGAACTCATCTCCAGATGTTGATGCTTGGCTTGGTCAGGACAACCAGAGCTGGAGGATTTAACCTAATGTGCATGTTTTTAGTGGTAGGGGAAACCAGAGTACCCGGAGGAAACCTATGCTCTTTACCTGGTGATCAGCTGTTGCGAAAAATATAACAAATATAACAGGTTTCCGCAACTTTCCTGCGGAATACAATTCCTTGATCGCTGGATGTGGTCAACACCTTCCTTAGTTTGGTCGGAGAGGACAAAATGTAGCGCAAGCTCGATGGTGTCACCCAAAATGAGAAAGTGTTTGCGGAGGTAGAGTAGCGCTATGGATATCGTCGGACATCATCACAACACAGAGAAAAAGTTAAGAAGCTTAAAAGTGACTACTGTGAAATTAAAGATCACAACAGAAAAACTGGGTCGAACCGAAAAGCTAGGAGGTGGTATGACCAAGTGGATGCAAGTGGTGAGCAGCCAGGTTAAGGCCCATGTCCTCAATCAAGAATTGTACCCTAATTATTTAGTTAAAATAATGCTACATTCGTTAGCACTGTACAGATCTTTTATTGTGGGAATCAAATCAGGTTGTATGATCAAATTTGAAAAAGGCCAGTTCCAAGGTAGTTCTATAAGCAGTCTTTGGTGAGGTGTTGCGGATTTTGGAGGCAGATGCCCGTGAATAAGGTCCAGTCACATTTGTCGCATTGCTTCATCTTTGGGCAAGCCAAATGGTGTCATCACATATTTACTCCCGGAAGCACATTTTCTTCAAGTTGACATGATGCCATGAACACTTTTACACAGGCTTATAAGCAGGATCAGGGCTACACTGCACCCTACTTGAAGGCAGTTCAGTGGAGGGGTGTCGTGGGGGAGTGAGGTACCTTGTTTGTGGTATAGCTGTCCCAGATGATGAGCTTTCCATCCTGGGAGGCACTGACCAAAAGCCTGCGGACAGATACATGTGTGAGAGCAGTGGGTTGTTTGGTGCTCATGAGGGGCATTATCATCCAAGTAACTAACTAAGTAAGTAAGTAATCTTTATTTACATAGTGCCTTTCACAGACCAGAGTCACAAAGCGCTTTAGATTTCTGGGCATTTGTCTGTCACTACACACAGAGATGGGAGCAGGTTTAGCATCTATCCTGAAGCTCACCCCATACACAGTATTTATGTTAGACAACTAATAACAAATACGTCTTTGGATATACGAATTATCCAGGAGTTAGATACATATACACATATACAGTGTGTTTCCATATACAGGTACACACTTTATGTGTGTAAAATTACACACTGTTAAGTACTTACACACATATATACAATGTGTCTAAGCACTTTCCTGTACCTGGAGTCAGTGCCCCAGTGCATGGCGTAGATCTTTGCCAGATGTCCTCTCAGCGTCCGCCTGGTGCGCATCTGGATTCGGCCCACCGGGTCGATGTTAGCCGTGATCTGTGGGTCAAGACCGAGACTTACAATAAGGAAATGAGAGACACAAACTATCCTAACAGAAACTGCAAAACAGAGTGTGTGTTTGTTTGTGATTGTGTTTGAGCTTACTTGGGACAGTGTGGCGTCTGCACATGCTTTCCTGGCATCCTGAAACACAGACCACAGTCAAATGATTATCACCATCAACAAGTCTTGACCAGGGCTGAAAAGAGAGTGGACTGAGGAGAGAGAAGGAAGGCTGAGGAGAGAGAAGGAAGGCTGAGGAGAGAGAAGGCTGAGGAGAGAGAAGGCTGAGGAGAGAGAAGGCTGAGGAGAGAGAAGGCTGAGGAGAGAGAAGGCTGAGGAGAGAGAAAGCTGAGGAGAGAGAAGGCTGAGGAGAGAGAAGGCTGAGGAGAGAGAAAGCTGAGGAGAGAGAAGGCTGAGGAGAGAGAAGGCTGAGGAGAGAGAAGGCTGAGGAGAGAGAAGGCTGGGGAGAGAGAAGGCTGTGGGGAGAGAGGTGCATCTACAGATGTTTCCCAGTGCTATTGTTGTGTTACAGTTCTGTACAATTCTATATGGTTTTTATTGACAATTATTATTTTATTGACAATTATTTTATCAATTATGAATTTGCTAATTCCAAGTATTGATATGTTGATTTTACTTTTAACAGTCCAATGCATGTCTGTGTGTATCAGGACTCACCCGTATCTGGTTCTTGAGCTGCTCGGCCTCCTGGCGAAGCTGATCCAGTTCACTCATTTTCCTCTTGACGCTGACGTCTCTCCTCCACCAGACTCTGATCTGCATCGCACACACACACACACACACACACAGCACTTTATTCACAGCACTGAGAGCTTTGCTCTGGTCACATTTAAACTTTGTGCTTCATAAAAAAGAAGGTTCTGGGTAAAAAATCCTGGGTGCTCAAGACCTGTTCTTCCAGGTATCCCCTAAAAACATGTTCAATAGTTCAGGGGGTGAGTATGTGTTTGTAAGACACAGATGGAAACAAAGATGTTCCACATGTGGACAGAACTTGGTCCATGTCTGCAATGTCCACAAAAGTCCCCACTGATGGTGGGAAAGTGAGGGAGTGGGTGCCAGGAAAACCAAAGGCCCCCGTCTCTTACCAGTGCTGACTGAGACATTTGTCTACAGAACGCCAAAGTTGTTCAAATATAGGAGTGAGGGTCCCATTTAATCTTACGCCAGACTGCAATGCTATAAGACTAGACCAAAAATATTGTTTGCAAATTCTACCCAAGTCGGCCAGTGAAGACGCTGTTGTTTCATACCTAGCCTAGAGTCTGGTGTTTGAAGGAATAGTTTGGTACATACTGTTTGTCTCGCTTCAGTCAGTCTGCCCCAGGGCAGCTGTGGCTACAGTCGTCTTTGAGTTTCCCAAAAAGTTCTGAAGAAAATAATAATAATAATAATAATACTAATAATAATAATACTAATAATACTACATGGGTTATTATTATTATTATTATCATCATCATCATCATACCTCTGTAAGCCAGACCTCAGTTGCTATCAAAGCCAGTCAAAGCTGGACTGGCTTTGATAGCAACAGTCCAGAGGAACAGCACAAAAGCCCAGTGATGAAGCAAAGATCAGGAGTAAACATTGGGTTTGTTCAGTTATCTTCCAGAAAACTAGGTTTCTTATATATATATATATATATATATATATATATTTGGGCTGGTGCTATGAGACTTGGGTGGCATCTCTGATTGCCACCCCCCTGACCCAGAAATGGATTAAAGGGTAGAAAATGGATGGATGGATGGATATATATATATATATCCATCCATCCATCCATTTTCTAAAAATGACGCCGTTAATATTGATTTGCGTTAACGCGTTAATAACGCGATATTTTGGACAGCACTAATATATATATATATCACCTTTCATAGACAGTTACAAAGCACTTTACAATTGTATGTACTCATGGGAGCAGGAAGCCTGCAGCAGGTGCATGCCTATTGTACATGAGTTTAGTGGTAGGGGAAACAAGAAAACCCAGAGGAAACCGGAAGACAAGGAGAACATGCTAAGTCCCTCTTTTCACACGCACATACAACAAACACAACACAGTGTGTGCGTTCCTGTTTGTGACGTCAGAGGTGTCGTGTGTGACGTCAGAGGTCTTGTGTGTGACGTTGTAGGTCGTGTGGGAGAAGTCGCAGGTCGTGTGGGAGAAGTCGCAGGTCGTGTGGGAGAAGTCGCAGGTCGTGTGGGAGAGGTCGCAGGTCGTGTGGGAGAGGTCGCAGGTGACATGGGAGAGGTTGTGAGGGAGAGGTCACAGGTCACATGGGAGAGGTCGCAAGTCACATGGGAGAGGTCGTAGATCGTGTGGGAGAGGTCGTAGGTCGTGTGGGAGAGGTCGCAGGTCACATGGGAGAGGTCGTAGGTCGTGTGGGAGAGGTCGTAGGTCGTGTGGGAGAGGTCGCAGGTCACATGGGAGAGGTCGTAGGTCACATGGGAGAGGTCGCAGGTCACATGGGAGAGGTTGTATGTTGTGTGGGAGAGGTCGTAGGTTGAGTGTGAGATGTCACAGGTAGAGTGTGAGAGGTCGTAGGTCGAATGTGAGAGGTCATAGGTCGAGTGTGAAAGGTCGTAGGTTGCGTGTGAGAGGTCACAGGTTAAGTGAGAGGTCACAGGTTGTGCACGTGTGGTCATTTGTTGTGCATTTTAACAGTTGTATGAACACTATTCAGTTATTGATTGATTAATATCAATACTACCTACAGTCAAACCTCATCTACATTCTGTAGTTCACCAACACCACTGAATAATGTCATATTAGGAGCACAAAGCACTAAAGCGCTATGTGCATGACAATCATTAACTCCTGCTGCGGTCATTCCGATGTCCACCAGTCACTACAAGATTCATGACAATGATTAGGACCAAAGACTCTGCATGTTTGGTTTGAAATACAGCAGGACTAATCTAATCACTTGTATCCAACATATTTTAACAATACGTTATTGTTGTTTGATGCTGAATCTCAAAACGTGTATCAGCACAGACCAAACTCTGACATTGAAAACAGCAAAATCCATTGGAACATGTGTCAAACGCGAGGCCCGTGGGCCAAATGTGGCCCGCAGGACCATGTCAGTGGTCGTTGAATCGATGGTAATATATTAATATGGACCATGGTCTGTTATAGCCCATTTAAAGCCAATTCTCAAGAAAACAAATCATGTAATAGAATGTTTTCTAACATTTGAACCCAACATGTCACTAGATATAAAATACATTTAAAAATCTTTGGCTCCAGTTTACAATTACAGCTTTCTTCACCTTTGGAGTTTGACTCCCTGCATTGGAAGCATTTGTAAGGGCCTCTCCACGTTTGAGCGTTGTATCAGCAATAGAACTGGCCAAAGGCAAACAAGACCATATGCTTCTTAATCAACCTCTTAATACAAAGAAGTCGTTATATATTCCACTGTAGCTAAAATCTCCAAAAAAGTTGACAGCTACAATTGTTTAAAAGATAAATTGCTATTCTAAGAGCATGTTGTAAAGATGGCAAATATTTGGGCCTACCCCACACAGCACCAGATGCAGCAGCCGCAGAGACAGAGAGACGGTGTGTCTGCGATGGACAAGGCTCTGGCTCTAAACACTCCTTCAATGTCACGCCTGTAATCCTGGGACACAGTTGATTCAGCTCCTCAGGACAAATCGGGTTAAGACAAAACCTGCTGATGATCCCGAATGCACTGGCCTTCTCACTGACCTCAATCCTCTTGGCGCGCACTTTCCCCACAACAGATCTCCACCCTATTTCCAAATAGAGAACATCTAACCGAACAATTGTTGTGTAGTAGTATATAACATATTATGAAAACATGATCAAAGTGGCATTTAAGAAAAAAAAACCAAGAAACATTGACAAGTCACCTGTTAGACACTACTCACTAACTGTAACAGTACAGTATCACTAACAGTATCCTTTATGCAATATGGATCCCTGGAACAAGAGGATCTTGAAGCTATCCATAAATTAATGAAAACAAGTCTCTGGACGAGGATGTGTGTATCGTCCGCCTCATTGCTCTCAACATGGCAGAGACACCAACACCTGCACAGGTGAAGCCTTGTGTCCCTCCCACAACTTCACTGTCCAACAGTTCAATGGGTTTGTGTTTAATGAGGAGGTGAATGAAATTCACAGATTTAACCTGCCGTCCTCATGAGACCAACACCATGACCACTGGAGCTCCAAAACAAAGATTCTCCAGCTGAAAGGGGAGCTGATGACGCCAGCCCAATGGATGCTCTTTAATGACATAACTTTCTTCATCTTGACCAGAATAAACTACAATTTCTAGAGAAAGAACTGAAGTTCTAAGTCCTCAGAGAGGAACTTATCCATCATCACACCTGAGAAACCTGAGTGTCAAGTTTGAATGTAAAGTCTGATTTAGAAAGGGCAATGTGCAGTTGCATTCAAAAGATGGCTGTACCAGAAAACATTGCCATTCTCACTGGTCTTCCATTTCCGCTTTACAATTATTAAAAAATTGGTCTCACTCAAAACTGAGACCAGGGGGCGGGACCACATTACACCAGTTTTAAAATCACTCTGTTCTTCCTCACAGTGGTCTGTGTGACAGTGGCTTCATGTTCGCAGAGCGCCAACATCAACAGACTGTCTACAGTGTAGCTGTAAAGCCATCACACTGGGACTGTGGAGAACACACACGTCTCACACACACAGAGAGCTATTTTTAGTATGATGGAGGAAGGGCTCATTGTGACGAAGAGCAGAGGACTGGACAAAAGGTGGTGTGTGTGTGTGTTGCTGCATTTACCACATTGATTTCAAAAATAACTTTTGCTAATCCCTCCAACCCTTTTTTATCCAGCAGTCTGTGCGGAGTGGGAAGTCTGGGCATACTACCCCCAACTCATCTGGGGAAATCTCAAGGTGTTCCTATAGGCCAGCTGGGTCATTGCCTGGTATCCTCCCAGTGGGAGATGCCTGGAACACCTCCCTACCAGGGCGTGTAGAAAGCTTCCTGAACCAGTTGGTTCCTCTCCACGTGAAGGGGCAACGACTCAACTCCGAGCTCCTCCCATGTGACTGAGCTCCACAACTTCTCTGTAAGGGAGCTCCACTCTGCAGCGGAAACTCATGTGGACCAATATACAAATAAAGATTTATTAATATTTTTTTATCTTGGGAGACAATTTTGCAGTATTATTGATCAGCATCTCGCGCCTAATGCTTTAACCCATCTCGTTCTTTCTGACATTCCCCAAAGCTCATGACCATTATACAATGCAGCCGACAGTGCTCAAAGTCACTACATACATTCACTTATAATATGATTTGTGTATTTTGGGATTACGGTGTATATAAGAATACATTGAGAACTCATTCATAATTTAGTCCCTTTGGTGCAAGAGTTTGTAACCGTTTGATTCATTATACCTCCCTCTGTTTGAGGCGATTGTCATGGTCTCCTCCTCTAGGGGGCGGAGGGACATGTTCAATACCAATGAAGCGCACCACTGATGGGCATCATTGAAGTGTGCTGACACTGGGTATTCTTCGTTTCATTTTTCTTGTTATTTTGCCGACATACGACAGTCCACAGCGTAGTAGGCAAACAACATGAGTGGATGCACAGGTGATCATGTTCTGATGTATTGGGGATCTACTCCAAGCAGGAGTAGAGAGGGTGCAGAGAGGAGTAAGGAGCAGAGCTCTACATAATTGAAGACCTCCTTCCTGACTGCAGCAGTGATATGCTGCTTTCACACAGGATCATGCGTTGCGTCAACTTTCAATGCAAAGTCAATGGTGACGCGCGTTCGAACGTCGAACAGCATGTGTGTCTCGGGACGCAACTAGATAGGGTATTACTAGCTTATAGCTGTCCCACCCATGGGCACAGGGAGCGCCCATGGTACTGCAGACTAAATTCAGATACTAAAACTAAAACCGCTCGAGGTCAACTGACAGAGAACCTACAGCTTTCATAAAGATCGGATTTTGTGGGGATTTTAGTTTCCCTTGTCATCCTGAACTTTTTTTCCTCTTAAATCCTTCGGTTTTCTTTAAATCCACACTTTACTGCCACAAAATCTGCTCCTTTTCTTCCCGCTCTGTCTCAGCTCTACCAAGCTCTAATCAGCAGCTCTGATTGGTCAGCGTATTTGGCGCAACGCATCATGGGAGCTCGTCCTCTGCGCAGAACTGGGAGGACCAGACAATGCCCAAATATAGCAGAGTTCCGCTGATATGTCAGCGCCCGTGAAGTCCCATGCGCTACTGAGCACAAACCATTCATTTAAATAGGGCGCCATCTTGGATCACCGGGGCGCATGCACGGACTGTGCAGCAGAGGCGAAGGAGCAGAAAATTGACGCACGCAGGAGATAAATATTGCTGAGCATTTCCTCGGACATTCGTGCAGGGACCAATCAGAGAGCCGCAAAGTGGTCACAGGGACATTAGCGGTCTGAGCGAGCAGACTGAACATACTTGTAAACAGCCAAAACAGGAGCTAGACCAGGACTAAACCAGGGTTGACAATGGGGGACACAGTGCTTATGAACATATGCGTTTTCATGCTCCTGTGACTTTATGCAACTGCTTCGAGCGTGTTTGCCGATGCGGAAGTACCGTTTAACAATAAGATAAACGTATGGCGCACCTCTGAACACATGCTGCTGTTATATAAAGTCTCTGGAAGGTCTCTGGACACGGACACGCTGCAGAGCTTCCTTCTTGGAGAAGAACTTTACACAAAAGGCCGCTAGCTTAACTCAGCTGGCATCAAAGTCCACCCGTTACTTCCGCCACTTCCGGCGGGTGCCACTGCTAGCCAGGACTTCTGGTGTGAAGACCCCAGCTTCTGAAAATTTGAGAAATTGCGTCTGGTGCGCGAGGCGTCAGTGTTCCAGCATTGACGGTGTGAAAGCACCTTAAGGCATCATGGTGGAGTGTGTCTCTGCAGTAATACCAGTCCAATGATGGGAGGCTCTAGGTCACAGCTCAGAGCCACACTGTTCTTTATGTGCATAAAGGAGCTGGACTCGATGGTGTTGTGTTTAGTTAATTTTTAGGAGATCTTATTTTCATCACACAATCTTAATGCTTCTAAGAATCGAAGATAAAAACAAGAAATTACGTTTGGCTCCATACAGATTATACAACGATTCTTTTACTAAAATTACTAATCTATCAAAAAGGTATAGAAATGTAAGACACATTTTCTATTGCAGTGGTCACTCGGGTCATCATTGGTAACAAATGCTTGTCTTGCATGTTAAAAATGGAGGTACACGTAGCATGGGGTTTTCCTGGCTGAGCACTGGGTGGGGGCCGTGGGCTGTGAGTGCCGGGGGAAGCCATGCATGGTTGATGTCCATAAAGCTAACCAGGTCACAAATACACAGGGAAGAGCGGGCAGACAGTGGGCCGTCTTTAAAAGCCTGCTCTTTCAAGGCACCCTAAGGAGGTCAGGCCATGCACAGGACAAAGAGCTGCTTTAGCTAACCACAGCAGAGCCCTGGACCCTGCAGGCACCCGACAGAAGTGAGGCTGATCTGAAGAGCCCCACAACTTCCTCAAGTATGTCAACAACACATCAAGCCCTGTGTTCACTTTGGCCTTTAACAAAAAGGAGGACCGGCTTAAAACTAGGAGACAGACAGATTTTGTTTGCATATCAGCCCCATTTTTGCATGGAGCACCATTCAAACATGACAATTCCGGTGAACAGTGCCACAGCTACATGCAAATGTGACAGCTCTGCTGAACGGGGCAGTGCCACTACAACATGCAAATGTGACCACTCCGGTAAACGGGGCGGGGTCAGAGCTACATGCAAAGGGCCACAGCGCTGAATCCCCCGTGTTTGTATAAGAGGCATTTAAGATGAAATAACACTTCCAGCATACTCTTAAAAATATTGAAACTAGACACTAATTTGAACCAGTATTGATTTAAAGATATCTACATGAACAAGAACATATTTGTCATTTTAAACATTTTTTGTTATGGATGGCAGAGTCTTTTCACAATAATAATAATATTAATGCATTGGTTTTATATAGCGCTTTTTTGGACACTCAAAGACGCTTTACATGTCATTATTCATTCACTCCATACACAGTGGTGATAAACTACTACTGTAGCCACAGCTGCCCTGGGGCACACTGACAGAAGCAAGGCAACCAGTATGTGCCATCGGCCCCTCCCACCACCACCAACCATTCACACACACACCAGACTCATTCTAGGCAATGGGGATAAAGTGTCTTGCCTAAGGACACAACGGCAGTTTGGCACTTTACAGCCGCCCCACTGTGGCACCAGGTGTTCCCAAAGGTTAAGTGTCTTGCCAAGGACACAACGACAGCAGACATCAGTGGGAGTCGATGGTGAAAGTCGGGCTCTGGCTCAAAGGCCAATGCTCTACCAACTGAGTGTGTCCCAGACTCACAAACACGCTCTCATTTAACCTGAACTATTGTGAATGTTGTAAATGGTAGAGGAAACCTATGCAGACACAGGGAGAACATGCAAAAACCACACAGAAAGGCCAAAGAAGGCCACAGAAAGCAGAATCACACCTTCTATCAGAAAGACTTGTATTTAAAGCATTAAGTATAGAAACAATGTGTGGTGTATTCACCTTTCCTAAACCACTTACAACATTCAGGCCAGGATAGTGTTACTTACAACGTTCAGGTTCAATGAGAGCGTGTTTGTATGTGGTATTGTGACCCTAACACTTTCTATACCGAGACCTGGCCTCACACAAACACAGGTTCTTTTACACTTATCTGTGATCTTAGTGATTCTCCATGTTCTATAAAGGTTCAGGGCTCCACAGGAGGGGGTGAGATTGACATCATATTACAGTAATAGTACAAACGGGAAGAGAATGATGACTGATGACTGCACCTCAGCAGTTACAGTAATCATCCAAACTCTCCACAGCCAGCTGTCCGTCACATTCACATGTGTGAAAATGACCGTATCAAGAACAAATCCCATAATCCCTCTGGGACATCCACATGCGGGATTAAAAAGTTAATACTATTAACCAACATTGATAACAGAAGGATTGTAAATAACTCACAACTGACACACAAGGCTTTTTAAAGAGCAGGTTCATAAGCAGTAGCAGTTGTAGAAGTAGTAGGAGCAGCAGCAGTAGCAGCAACAGCAGCAGCTAGACTCATTCCTATGACAATTCCACAAAATTTAGTGTTTTACGAGCTACAAAAAGGTTCTCTGCTAGTATTTCACATAGTTTCATTTTAAAAAGTCATTTGAGTTCTTTTAAGTTAAACAGAAGACGTTATCTTTATAAAATATAATGCGCACAAGGATTCTAAGGACTAGATAGAGATCCAGACCTGAGGTGACTGTATACACTCTCTGGTCGTTGGCTTTGCCCGCTGCATATAACCAATCCCATTAGAGGCACTTAAACACACACAGGTCACTCTCAGGGCTCATCACAATCTGACCAGAGACACTACTGCTGCTGCTGCAGTAGCACCAGAAACACCCCTCCTGCAGCTGCTGCAGTAGGACCAGAGACACATCTCCTGCTGCTACAGTAGGGCCAGAAACGGTTCTTCTGCTGCTGCAGCAGGACCACACTACTGCTGATGCAGTAGCGCCTATCTACCCAAGTCACCCCTGTATGGGGAGAGGAGGCTGATGCTAGACTGCTGTGGTGTCATTATCTGCATTCACTTCTTATAAATGACTTTAAACCAAAGCAGTTGACATACAATTGTCAAACACAAACTAGCAATGTGTCCGTATATCTGAAAGGCCAGAATAGTGTTACCAGTACAGAACCACTTTTCTGAACACAATGTCGCTTTTACAAATACACAGTGCTTGTGACTATTTCCGTCTCAATTCAAACGGAAGAGACAGAGTTTTATTGGTCCTCTTGAGCCCTGGGGCATCGCTTCTACTGTTAACTTCGTATTGACTTGGAAGTCCAAACACGCAAAACGCATGGATCTTACGGGGGATAAGGGAACATGACGCCGGTGTTAGCGGTGGTCTGTCCGGGGGCCTACACAGCAACACCCAGGCGGACACAGGCCTCACAGAGCAGGCACCTCAGAGCAGGCCCCGCAGAGCAGGCCCCGCGGAGACGGAGGGGCATATTAGCTCCATGTATCTCATGTTTACACACTACTTATTCCAATTAGTTTTTACACACCTAAGACAAGCACAGAAAACGCGAATTCATCCACTTTATTAGGAAATAAGGGCGTGAGGGAGACGAGCGAAGCCATAAGCAGCTAACCAGTTTAACCCGTAGCTGTGGAAGGAGCTAGAGCGCAGTGAACATACAGCGGCCATCTTGCGTCTTCACATGAGCCGAATTCTTATTCAAAAACATGAACAAATTCTAAAAACAGGCAGAAAATAAGAAAGTCAAGTGTTTGAATGGACTCAAAGCTGTTGGTGCATAGTCTGATAATGAAGACAACAGTCTCCGAGATCACATTCAGGATAACAGGCCATTCGCCTAAAACACTGCAACTGTTTACGTTGGTGCCTGCTAGAATAAAGACGGATTATAGACAGTGATTTTAAAAGATTATTTTAGTACACAAGTTGAGATACATTTGTTTGAGTTAGTTTTCTGGTTCTGATTGTGTATTACAATAAATATCAAGAGCTTCTAAACATGATATTGTGAGAACACAGGTTTAAGATTAAGATTAGATAATAATAACAATATTATAACAGTGATTAAAAATACACATTCTCAAACCGTCATCATGAGAGCACCTTTAAAACTGGGGATACAACTATATCCTTTCATAAATAACACATGTTAGAATGCAAGTCTTTAAAACTGTAGAAAAAATATTATCTTAAGAATGACAGGGGTGAGTCAATATCTAACTCTTTGGGCTAAGAGCTGATTGGCTGGATAGGGTGGGCTTCTCTTTTTCACTTTACTGTCAGAAAAAGTAGCTCTAAAGATGTGACAGACGCCAAAAGTACATGATGTGAATACATGTGATAGAAGCAAACTGTTTTAGAGCCAGGGACTAGAGACAAGGGTTTATTACAGAGTTCCATTGCCGTAGAAATGAAAATTAGGTACCCCGGCTTTAACGTGAGCTGTTAGTAGAATTTGCTTCATGACAGCTGGATCACTACAGATGCTCTCTCTAGCCCCTTCCATAGTCCCAGGTTTAACCCCTTCTTGCACACAAACAAGCCCAGATGGGAGCCTGGCCTTACCCGCGTTCAGTAGGTGGTGTCCGGGCCTCCACTCACATTGACCGGGCGCTGGATCCCACTGTAGGCCCCACAAAGTCACCGCTCAGCAGAGTGCAGTCCCGGCACCCAGATCCACTCTCACCCCACACACCGGCTCCGACAGGGCGCTGTCCGTGCACCAGGGCAAGGGGGGAAAAGAACCGGTGATCGGCGAGAATACGAGCTGCAGGAACGGTCCCTTGGTTCAGGTGTTTCCTCCACGCGAGCCCCCGGGGTGTGTGGCTTCAGTGAGGCCGAGATCAGCGGTGTGTTCAAGGGGCCATCAACCAGCGGAGACCGGAGAGAGGAGCGGAGATGGGTGCGGTGATGGGCGCCAGATCCAAGGAGGAAACACGCGAAGGGGAGTGTTTACTCAGCCAATAGATGAGTAAACACTCATCTATAAGAAAGTATTTGATGTTTTTTCATGTCTTTAATAAATCTTACATTCCCTTCCCGGATACCATATATTTGAATATGTGTTTGTGTATTGTCCTAAATCACAGCAGCAGTCGCCTCAGAGGACTTTACAAAGTTGTGGATTCACCAACAAACCAGAGAATCAAACATTTCAAACACATATAATGCAATTCAAACAAACCATTGGTCCATAGGGAGAAGGATGAGCACTGTCCATAAATGTTAATAAATATTCTCACACTGTGTGTGAGAATATGTGGTATATTCACACTGTGTTGTGTTAGGGACAGTACAGAATACACACTACTTTAAACATTTGAAATGTAAACGGTCTATGCTTAATTCTCAATACTTGGAATAGTCTGATTCATTTGCATCATATTGTATTGTACATACACATCAAAGCAATAGAATTACTCATTACATTCATCAAAAGGATACTCACAAAATATACATGTGATGTTCTAAACCAGCAAACAGAAAGAGGGCCCCACTTATGCATGCAGACGGGTTTAGCCTCTTGTAATGAACAACATGTGAAATAATGATCACATTCATCTGAAAGAATTCAGAAAACGGAACTGTGAAGAAGTAAGGTATAGGTAAAGGTGCACTTTATTTATCCCCGTAGGGCAATTCATCCTTTGCATTTGACCCTTCCAGATGTGGGAGCACCCGGAAGAAACCCACGCAGGCGAGATTCGAACCCAGGATCTTCTTTCTAGAAAGCAAGAATAGAATATTTTTCCCAATTCAGGGAAATGAGGAATCAAGACCAGCTTTTAGAGCCCTCTGCAATAACAGTGTTTGTCAGTATATAAATAAACAGTTATGTTTGATGAATAAAAATAAGCGTTACCACAGAGCTGACTGGTGGCTCTAACCACAGTGTGCCAACACTTACGGAGAATCATCTGCAGTTTTGACCCAATAAAAAGAGAATAATTCTTTTGATTTGATTCTTTGTCTTAAACATCTGGGGTTTAACATTACTGCATCAATGGCAGCCCACTTGCACTAACATATCTTTGCCTTCATACACAGCACGGCTTGTTACAATAACCAGCTGAAAAACTAACTACCCAAACGCTAGAAATATCCCAACCTGGCAACGCGATGGCGGTAACCCTGCTCTGAGCGTCGGGAAACCCCACGTCGAGGTCCGGGATGCGAAATTATTTTTCGTAGGTGAGTTTAGCCACAGTGAGTTTGGCTACAGTGACCAATCTCAGCCAATCAGAAAACTTGTCAAAAGTAACACATTCAGCGCGCATTCTTCCCACGGAAGTAAAAGCAACTTGTAATGCACGAAACCAGTAATTACACAAAAACTATAGACGCCAAAATACATTCCTATACATAGTTCCCACAGACCAATGAATGTCACATGACCTCCTCGGAGACGCCATCTTTGATGGCACGCTGTTGTGTTTGTGCATTCCATTAAACAGAAAAATGAGAATAAATGTAGATATTCAAACGCAAATTGGAAAAAAAGGGCAACTTTTGAGCAAATAATTGTATATTAATACAATGGCACCACAGTTTAACGTGCTACGGACATGTTTTACATATTTGATCAAAAACTTTAGATTTAATACCAGTTGGAGCTCCATTTAATTATTTTAATTATATTAACAATTAATTTAATTAATGTTAATGCCACACGGACACTCTGGATTGCTGTTATTGTTTATTTCCACGTTTTTGACCGTATGTTTTGGTGAATGGTGGGCAACTGATTTTTCCAGGCGTAAAGAGCAGTTTATTTTATGACACAGATCTTTTTACAGAAGCAATGCTGTTTGTGAACATTGTTTTAGCCCACCATAGAACTATTATTATCTATTTAATACATTTACGTTGCCCTCGAGAGCCTCGGACGCGACACCGATCCTCCTCATAATAAAGTAATCTAACGCTAAATAATGAAACTCTCAAGTTACCAGGTATCAGCATACACAAGTTAGTACTGAGTAAATTACGTCTGTCAACACATTATGAGATACGATACTGCTGTAATTTGTCAGAATTCCCCAGCCCCAGAAGCTGCAGAGAGGCCGCAAACACAGCAGCCCTTCGTTCTGCAGGTCCTTTTAGTTCAACAAGAGACAAAAACCAATGTTAAAACAGTAATAGAAATGACAGATACCAAACCTGATTTCAAAAGGTTATATTGAAGATTTTCATAACCATAGAGTAATAATAAATAAAGTTTTGTATTTTAATTTAATTTTTCATAGCCTAGGTCAGGTCCGTGTATGCAGCTTAACATAACGTTTCACTATCACAAGATGTTTGTTGTCAGACTACTGTTGCTAGGTGATGGCCCACGTATGGACACTGCTCAACCGCTGTCCATACCCGAGCCAGAAGCCGCAACACAGTGTGTTATCCTGACTGATCACAAACAGCTGTTTTTGTACGTACTTTTTAATCTTGAACTCATTAAAGTTCACATAAGAAGATTCCTTGTCGTGTGTCTCCTAACCCACGCACCACCACCACCATCACCAACGGAAGGTAAAGCACGACAACTGGTGTCAGAAGTGGGATCATGCAGTACTCGTATGTGATTTCAACCGAAAAGACTGTATCCAGGCGTATCCTGAGCTAAACAACAACTTAAAGCTAAGCTACAAATCGCCGCGACAGTGTGTGAAAAGAGAAATAAGTGCGTGCAGAGGAAAACAACAGTCAAGCTGCAGCAGCATTGCCGCGCAACTTCCGGTCCGTTCGTTTCAAAATAAAAGCGCAACAGGAAGTAACGAAAATAAAAATAAAAGGAATTGGAAATGAATGAGGAATTACAAGGCGCTACGGCAGGCCCTCCAGACGCAGAAACAGCTCCCAAATGGTTACAAGCTGTGTTGGAAAATCAAAATCAACAAACAAGACACCTCCAGATGATGTTGGCCCCTGTCCTTTCACACATAACGGGACAGCCAGCTACACAGCAAAACCCATCACCACTCACTACTGCTGGAGGAGGTGAAGGGATTTTCTCAAAGCATTCTACAAGAGAAAGATATACACCTGAGGAAAGTACGACTTTTGATATGACAACTAGACCAAGAGATTGTACTCCCTTTGCAGCTGAACTGGAGGTCATAAATCAAAGGTCGCGGAGTTCAGGTCCATCAAGGCGGACTATAACTCCTGAACCTGACAGCAGACGCAGAGAGGGAGACTCTGAGCGTGAAGCCCAACACTCGCTTGCCTACCATGATGTGAGGAGGATGAATAATTCTGGAACCTATCACAACACACTACCAGAACCTCAGAGACCTAAGCTACCTACATTTGATGGAAATGAAGATTGGGACTCTTTTCTGATGCCGTTCGAACGTCAAGCTAGAAAATACGGATGGAGCGCCATGGAAAGAGTGGACAGGCTACATGAGTGTTTGAGAGGAGCTGCAGTGCGGTATGTCTGTTCATTACCAGAACGTACAAGGGAAGATTATGTCCTCCTGGTAGAGCAACTCACTCAACGTTTTGGGAAAAAAGACCCCCCAACCACAATAAGAAGAAAGATAGGGGAGCTCCGGCAAGCACGAGAGACATCAGCTGAGTTTGCAGAGGAGGTGAGACGCCTTATCACACTTGCTTATCCAGGGGTGGATCTCCAGCTGCAAGACCAACTAGCAACTGATGCTTTCCTCAAGGGATTACGAAACCAAAAGGTGGCTTATGAAGTCATGAATCGTGACCCAGGCTCCTTCGTTGAGGCCCAAAAGTTTGTGGAGGCCCATGAACATAACTTCAAAGCCACCGTGGGCCGTGACACTGAAGTTAAGAACAGAGCAAGACGCATCTCATGGGTTGATGAAGGAGACTTATGTGAGGATACTGCTACAATGTCCCGCAGAGTCCAGACCCCCCAGTATGTTACGGCTGACCAGTTTGCTGCACTAATGGACCAAGTGAAAACCCTTGTTAACACAGTGGGGAGCCTACAGTTGCAGGTTGAGACACTCCAGTCCACAAACACCGGACCCCACCGACCTAAAGCAGCCCAAAGCTCTTTACCAGAAAGAAAACAAAACTATCAGGCACAACCCAACAGAGGTCGCTCTCAATCACCAAGCCCAAATCGTGGGGCAGCTGGTCCATGCTTTAGATGTGGAGAAACAGGACATTTCCGAAAGGACTGTGCTAGGCCACCCAGCCCTGTGGCTGCACGTAGCGATGGTGACAAGCATAAAGACTACTTGCTGCAGTCCGATAGAACCCCTAACCTGGATCACCAATTACAAGGCCGTCAGATTGGCTGCACCAAGAAAAGAGGTGAGAGTTTACAAATTCCTCTGACAATAAACGGCATCCCAACGCAAGCTGTAGCAGACACTGGAGCTCAAACAACTGTGATATCGGAGGAGCTGTACCAAAGTATCCTAAAGAGCAACACAGCAACTGCAGATCTACACCAAACCTACTTACTGAATGCAGGAGTTGGAGATGGCATGAAAGCTAGACATGGACTCACAGTGACTTTTCAAATTGGACCCAAGTCTATTAACTGGGAAGTACATGTAGCCCCAATAAGAGACTCTGTCCTCCTCGGATTGGATCTGATGAAAGCCCATGATGTTGTCATCTATACCCGTGGCAAGGTTTTCATAGGAGGTGAACTTGTGCCCTCAAAAATTGTTCAAGATAATGGATCAGACTATTGTGTGGCGAGAGTGACACTCACAGAAAACACCATTATACCAGCCACCTCTGAATGTGTTGTGTGGGGTGAAGTGGAGGACCCAAGACCAGGGGTCACAGCTGTGCTAGAGCCTTTAAACATTACAGACAATGTAGCCTCTGGTAGTGTAGTTGTCACTATGGAAAAAAGGGTGCCAATCAGGGTGTGTAATTTCTCAATCAAGAGAATGGCCCTACCAAAAGGAGCATGTCTCGGAGTCCTCGTCGAAGTTCATCCCGAACCCCCATGTCAGTCAAAGCAAAGTACAGTACCTCGCTATACAGATGACAGTGGTCCATCGCTGCTGGTTGGGAGAATAGCAACAGCCTTTGACATTCCCGAACACCTCCATGGCCTGGTCGCTGCTACAAGTGAGGCTCTCAATGAGGAACAACAACAGCGGTTCATTCAGCTACTGCTCACATACCAATCCGTCTTTGCCAAAAATGACTCTGACCTTGGTTACATGTCCGTTGTTACGCACAAGATCGACACTGGATTATCTAGGCCTGTACGCCAGCCTGTGAGAAGAACTCCTCTGGGATTTCAAGGTGAAGAGGAGGCACATCTTAAAGCCATGCTGGAAGAGGGTGTAATCACACCATCGGCATCCGAATGGGCCTCTCCAGTGGTCCTAGTACGCAAAAAGGACGGGGGAGTGAGGTGGTGTGTAGATTATCGCAGTCTGAACAGTCTAACCATTAAAGACGCTTATCCACTACCCCAGATTGAAGAGTGCCTAGATGTTATTGGTGGAGCTACAATGTTCTCTACCCTCGATCTTCAGTCTGGTTACTGGCAGATTGCAGTGGATAGCAAGGATCGTGAGAAGACGGCTTTCATCACCAAATGGGGCCTTTATGAATATACCAGAATGCCATTTGGACTCTGTAACGCCCCGAGTACGTTTCAGAGAGCGATGGAGCTCGTCCTCAGAGGGCTTCAGTGGGAAACCCTTCTCATCTATCTTGATGACGTCATTGTCATTGGCAATGGGGTGGACCAGAGCTTGGATCGGCTTGAGCAGGTTTTCCAGAGGTTCCAGAGCTATGGACTAAAACTAAAGCCATCAAAATGTCACCTGTTACAAGAAGAAGTTCTCTTCCTTGGACACATTGTGAGTGGCAACGGAGTTGGACCAAACCTGCTCTTGTCAAAGATGTACAGCAATGGAACCCCCCCAACAACCTACAAGAGCTGCAGGCCTTCCTTGGGCTATGTAACTATTATCGCAAGTTTGTCCCAAGTTTTGCAGAGCTGGCAAGCCCCCTCCATAATCTTCTCAAAAAGGGAACAGTGTTTCAATGGACTGACGAGCACCAAGCTGCTTTTACTATGCTCAAAGAAAAGCTGACCACCGCACCTGTGTTGGGGTATCCCCGTACTGAAGGAAAGTTCATTCTGGATACAGACGCCTCAAACAACAGTGTCGGAGCAGTCCTGTCGCAGATCCAGTGGGGAGAAGAGAGAGTTCTGACCTATGCCAGTAGCCACCTGTCCCCAGCTCAACAAAGGTACTGCGTCACTCGTCGTGAATTACTCGCTGTTGTTCGCTTCACACGCCAGTTCCGCCACTATCTACTGGGCAGGAAGTTCCTACTACGGACCGACCATGGCAGTCTCACCTGGCTTTTCCGTTTCAAGTGCCCTGAAGGACAGCTAGCTCGTTGGCTGGAAGAGTTGAGCCAATATGACTTCCACATTGAGCATCGGGCTGGTAAGCAGCATGCTAATGCAGATGCCCTATCAAGGCTGCCAAACAACATGGACAAATGTGACTGTTACCAGGCAGGGATAAATCTGTCAGATCTGCCATGCAAAGGGTGCAGGTACTGCTGGAAAGTTCATGAACAGTGGGCCAAGTTCGAAGAAGATGTGGATGATGTTGTGCCACTAGCAGTAAGGTGCATTGAGCCCCAAGGCAACGCAAATGTTGATGGCACTCAGCCGGTTGAGAGTCAGCCATCTGCACCTTTGCCAGAGACCCCCGAAGTCAACTGGCTTGAGTCCCTTAGTCCCGAGCAGCTGGCAACATTGCAGAAAGCAGATTCTGTTCTCGCTACTCTTCATACATGGAAGGAAACAGGGACACTCCCCACCAAAGATGAAGTAATGCTGGAGGGCCCTGCTGTAAGAAAGTTCTGGCTATGTTGGCCCCAAGTCACATTAAGACAAGGAGTCCTCTATTACTCCTGGGACAGAATTGGAGACCAGCACCCAACTCAGCTGCTATTAGTTCCATCGTCCATGCAGAAAGAAATCCTACAGTCATGCCACAATCCTCCATACTCTGGTCACCTGGGAGAAGCCAAAACCCTACAGCGTGTGCGGCAAAGCTACCACTGGTATGGAATGGGCAGAGATGTTCAGCTGTTTGTCAAGAGGTGCCCACACTGCAGTGCATGCAAAACTGCCGGACCAACAAAAAGGGCAAAGTTGCAAAGTTACCAAGTTGGAGCACCCATGGACCGCGTGCACCTTGATATCCTCGGCCCATTTCCAGTATCCAGCTCTGGTAATAAGTACATTCTTGTCATTATCGATCAGTTCACGAGGTGGGTTGAAGCTTTTCCAGTCCCTGACCAAGGTGCTGAAACGACTGCAAGAAAGCTAGTCTATGACTTTGTCGCCAAGTTTGGAACCCCCCTCGAGTTACACACAGATCAAGGCCGTAATTTCGAGAGTTTGTTGTTTCGAAATGTGTGCAAACTTCTGCAAATTACCAAGACCAGGACTACGCCCTACCACCCCTCCTCTAATGGACAGGTAGAACGGTTTAATAGGACCTTGCTGCAGATGCTTCGATGTTATGTGAACCAGAACCAAAAGAACTGGGACGAGCAGTTGCCACTACTTACTGCAGCTTACCGCAGCTCACGGCACGCAGTGACAGGGTTCACACCCAACCGACTTATGCTTGGCAGAGAGGTCCACCAGCCGCAAGATATCCAGTCTGGTAGCGCAAAACTCAATGCCGACCCATTGAAAGAAGCAGATTTCCTCTACAATCTGGAAGAAGGTTTGAAAGAGGTACACAGCCTAGCAAGAGACCATCTCCGCACTGCACAAGAGAGACAGAAAAAAGTGCATGACCTACGAGCAAGAGAACACTCCTACAGTGTTGGAGACCTGGTGTTTGTTAAAGATGACACCAAAAAGAAAGGACTAAGCCCAAAGCTCCAAGCACCATGGAAAGGCCCCCTGATTGTTGCAGCACGACGTGGTCCTGTACTCTACGAGATTCAAGGTCCCAAGCGCAGTACAGTAATGCATCATGATAGACTCAAGCCCTATGACAGTGAAGTGATACCAGTCTGGGTTTCACGTCAAAGAAGCAAATTGCTGCAGCAGTGCCGAGATCCAGACATCCAGTCACATGAAGAGGACATTCCACTGGTGCCAGTGCTACCGCTGCCAGATGATCCATGTCCTGCCAAGGGTCCGGGTGAGGCGTTCCAATCCAAGGGTCCAGGCGAGGCATCCCAGTCCAGTGATCCAGGGTGCCAACCAGGAAGAAGACAAGGCGATACAAACTCTTCAGATAAGACTGTTAAAACATCTAGAGGTCGCATTGTCAATATGCCAGAGAGATTCGGATATTAGTTATGAGTTATATTAAGCTAAAGTCTGTGAGCTAACAGTTAGATGTTTATACTGATCTAAGGAAAATTATTTGTGTTGTGTTACACTTATGACAAGCTCTTTCAGTTACTTGCGTTCAGTTATTGTAGTTACCTAATTTCTAGAAGGTTTTCCCTACGTTACCTGCACTGAAGGGACTCAGTACTCTTAAAAGGGGGGGTAGTGTAAGGTGAATAAGATGTTCATAACCATAGAGTAATAATAAATAAAGTTTTGTATTTTAATTTAATTTTTCATAGCCTAGGTCAGGTCCGTGTATGCAGCTCAACATAACGTTTCACTATCACAAGATGTTTGTTGTCAGACTACTGTTGCTAGGTGATGGCCCACGTATGGACACTGCTCAACCGCTGTCCATACCCGAGCCAGAAGCCGCAACACAGTGTGTTATCCTGACTGATCACTAACAGCTGTTTTTGTACGTACTTTTTACTTGAACTCATTAAAGTTCACATAAGAAGATTCCTTGTCGTGTGTCTCCTAACCCACGCACCACCACCACCACCATCACCAACGGAAGGTAAAGCACGACAGTATTATAAAAGTCTTAAAGAGACTGCTGATATTGCAAGTATAATTCATGTGTTGCTAGAACTCTCACAACTTCCTTAATTCGATTTCACAATTTTCACATTTTTCACAAATTCGATTTTTTCAAAAGCTGATTAATTGCTTAAATTCGATTTATTGCCCAGACCGAGGACTAATAATGGGGGACACTTTGCTTTCGAACATAGTCCTCCAGCCTGAGTTCTCATTCCCCCGTGACTGTAAAAAAGGTCTGCGAACGTGTGCTGTAACGTGACACACCAAATGTATTTATTTAGGTTTAAAAAAACTAAAAGAACAATCAATAGTTATGTCAGGAATGAAGCAGACAGAGACGGATCTTGGTGCGCCAAACTCTGGAAGTTTATTTAAGTTTCTCTCAAGTTCCAGTGGTTTCCATTGTTTCCTTCTCTCAGACAGAATGGAGTCAGTACCCAGTTTATATAGTCATTGTCACGTCACACGTGGAAAGACATACGTGTCACACAGAGACAGTCACATCATAGTCATAACATGGAGTCATCATCAGAGTCCTTGTAGAGTCCTGCACGTAGGCCATATTGCTATCTAATACTAACAGTTATCGATATAGACAAATATGAATCACTTACTATATATTGTGATATAGTTTTCAGCCATATCGCCCAGCCCTAATACAAAGTCATATTTCTGACCTTTTTAATTGTATGGATGATTTAAGCCTCGTCCTTGACTAAACACATTTACAGGCATATGTGAGGTCATTCCTGAATATTGTTTGAAATAATATGCTCAAAGTTAAGACATGCATTTTGGTGTATTCTCATTCTAAATTATTGATAAACCGTTTCTGCAAATGATCTGATGGCATTTATGAGTTTATATGGGCAGAGAATATGTACTGCACAACACTATCAGACTCCCTTGGGCTTTTCTTACAAACGACTCAGACCAGTCTTGTCTCAGTATACATTTGGTGTCAGTATATAAGTATATGGTTTTTTCACAATGGCTCTCTGACAGCTTAAACTGTTATGCAAACAATTGGCAAAAAAAAAGCCAATTATGTTTATTTGCAAAGCTCACAGACATATCTCAAATAACTTTGAGATATGAAGAATTGGATTTAAAATAGACAAGAACAGTTATCTGTTATCTGTTTTTTTCCGGCGCCAGCCCCCCACTGTGCAGCTAGTCATTTTGGATCTCTCTTCTTTCCGACTCTTTCTCTATTTATTTCTTGTAGATAGGATTTTGTTCTTATATTTTATTTAAGTAGGCAATACATTGAAGATGGCGCCGTGGCAAGAGCTCTGGTGTGTGTGCACACTGCACAAGTTTCTCTCAAGTTCTGGTGTGTGTGCACACTGCACAAGTTTCTCTCAAGTTCCAGTGGTTTCCATTGTTTCCTTCTCTCAGACAGAATGGAGTCAGTACCCAGTTTATATAGTCATTGTCACGTCACACGTGGAAAGACATACGTGTCACACAGAGACAGTCACATCATAGTCATAACATGGAGTCATCATCAGAGTCCTTGTAGAGTCCTGCACGTAGGCCATATTGCTATCTAATACTAACAGTTATCGATATAGACAAATATGAATCACTTACTATATATTGTGATATAGTTTTCAGCCATATCGCCCAGCCCTAATACAAAGTCATATTTCTGACCTTTTTAATTGTATGGATGATTTAAGCCTCGTCCTTGACTAAACACATTTACAGGCATATGTGAGGTCATTCCTGAATATTGGGGTAGTCTTGCAAATGGCAAATAAATGAATCTGAATCTGAATGAATCTGAATCTGAACATTGTGCATTAGTGCACACGGGAAGCCTAGTCTTGTCAGACTTTTTGCTGGATTCGTCATGTTTTTGGCACTTTTGGATTCCTCAGCTCACAGCGCCACAAGTCCCACATGTCACATTGTTTACACCCGGGAGCAGCTTCTCGGACTAAGAGACTCCGCTTTCCTGCACTCTGAGAAGCCGGTGATCCCTGTGGATACCGTACCTCCCCTCCATCATCATGGGAAACGTATGGTCCATCTCCAACAAGACTAATAAGATTGGACGCTCGGATCACTTTCTGGTTTGTCTATCCTCGGAATACACACCTATGGTGAGACGACATCCAGCGCTGAAGTATGTTACAGTGTGGAGTGAAGAGGCTGAGGACAGACTGAGAGACTGTTTTCAGATCACAGACTGGGATATGATCTGCAGCTCTCATGGTGATGACATCGAGAGCCTGACACACTGTATAACAGACTATATTCTCGTCTATGTGGATAACACTGTACCGATTAGGAAGGTATGGTGCTTTTCCAACAACCACCCATGGGTGAGCTCCCGTGGAGTATTAGGAGAGCCAAGAAGGACTATGGGAAAAAGCTGGAGCAGAAGAGAAAACGCCCGGGATGGGTGAAGAGGCTTAAAGAACATCTCCGGTTTTGGACAGAGTGCAAGAGGGACAGCGAATGTAGACCAGCGCTGGGTGGATGAATTTAACCAATATTTCAACCGGTATGATTCTCCCCCCTCTCCATCTGCCCCCTCCCGCCCCCACCTCTTCACACGTCTCCACCTCTTCACACGTCTCCAGCCCAGTGGACACTGCCTTCAACTGCCCCAAGCCCCCAGCCCCCACCTCTGACAGTACACCCTGCCCCCCCATTCCCCGCTCTCATCACACCAGACCAGGTGAGGAGTGAGCTCAAGCGACTGAACCAGAGGAAATCCGCAGGACCGGACGGGATCAGTCCCAGGCTGCTGAGGACCTGTGCAGACCAGCTCTCCAAGGTCCTCAGGTACATCTAACAACCTGAGCCTCAGCCTGGAGAAGGTCCCTGTCCTGTGGAAGACCTCCTATGTTATCCCGGTTCCTAAAATGGCGCACGCCAAGGAACCGGCTCTCCACCGACCAGTCGCACTGGCCTCCCTCCTGATGGAGACCATGGAGCGGCTCCTCCTGCAGCGGACGCTCTCCCACCTGGAGCCCGGCAGGAGCGCTGTGAGGGTCATGTTTTTTGACTTCTCCAGCGCTTTCAACACCATCAGCCCGGCACTGCTGTGGGGGAAGATGGAGGACACGGGAGTGGACAGTCACCTCACTGCATGGACCATCGACTACCTCTTGGACCGACCACAGTACGTGCGGCCGCGCAGCTGTGAGTCTGAGGTGGTAGTCTGCAGTACTGGGGCCCCTCAGGGCACTGTCCTCTCATTGTTTCTCTTCACCATCTAGACTTCAGACTTCACACACGACACACACAGCTGTCGCCTGCAGAAGTTCTCAGACGACTCCGCCATGGTGGGCTGTGTGTCAGAGGGGAACGAACTGGAATACCGGTCACGGACTTTGTCGACTGGTGTGAGCGCAACCACTTGTGCTTGAATACCAGTTAGACCAAGGAGATTGTAATCGACTTCAGGAG